GACCCTATTCCACCCCCGCCTCGCATTCCAAGCCCAACGCGCAACACCAGAAGAAAGCGGAGTTCAAAATCTTCCCCCATTGTGTTGCTCATTCTAGTCAGCTCCGGATCCTACGTACTCCTCGTGAGATCGCGCAGGCCGAAAGATGTCAAGCCAAACTAAGCCCTCCACGGCCTCCGCGCCCCCAGCCCCCTCGACCGTCCCGCCCGAACTGACCCCTCCATTAACCTCGAATAACACCGCTCCCAGGTTCTCCCAAAAGGACGTCTCCGTGGTCTTTGTTCTCGGCGGGCCCGGCAGCGGGAAAGGCACCCAGTCCGCCAACCTTGTGCGCGACTACGGCTTCTCCCACTTATCCGCGGGCGACCTACTCCGCGCGGAGCAAAACCGAGAGGGAAGCAAGTACGGCGAGCTGATCCGCCATTATATCCGCGAGGGCCTCATTGTTCCCATGGAGATCACGGTCGCCTTGCTTTCCAACGCCATGGCCGATATTCTCGAGGAGCGGAGAGCACAGAATACGCTCCGCGCTGGCGTCCCGTCACGGTTCTTGATCGATGGATTCCCGCGTAAAATGGATCAGGCGGTTTTCTTTGAAGAGACTGTCGTCCCGTCGGTTGCTACTCTGTTTCTTTCTTGCCCGGAGGAGGTGATGCTTAACCGCTTGCTTAAGCGCGGGGAGACTAGCGGTCGCGCGGACGATAACATTGAGTCGATCCACAAGCGGTTCCGCGTTTTTATAGACCAGAGCATGCCGGTGGTCGAGCATTACGAAAAGGAGGGAAAGGTCATGACCGTGTCTTCTGTTGGAACCATAGATGAAGTTTACAGTGGGGTGAAGAAGGAGATCGAAGGCCGCGGGATCAAGCCAGTAAAAGAAAATTAAGGGACTTCGAGTTCGTTAATATTGCGTGGTATTTGGCATTTCTTGGGAAATAATAGACCTTTTTGATAGCGCCCACTGAGCGCGAAAACCGCAGCCAACTTTTGATAGATCGACAATAAATTTGACCCTTTTGGCGTTTTTCATACATATACTGATTTTATACTTGGGCCTTATTATATCCAGTAGTCATAGGCACAGTGTATACCTTCAAATACGAAAGTCCAATAATTCTCGCGCAGTTCACTATTGCCAAAAGTGAATTTGCAAATAGACAGAAGCGGGAGAGTTCCACAGAGTACTGACGACGATTGTTGTTCAAACTGACTGTCTTGAATTCTTTAAACCCATGAGAGTATGTATCATAAGCAACATGAAAAAGGGTTATAAAGAGCACCACACTAGGAATGCGAGAAACGATGTGATGTCAATGTCGGTAAAAAGGAATGATGTTTTCTTGTCTGCCCCTCATCTTCCTGCCATCTTCTAGTAAGTGCTTTTGTTGGGTTCAGATAATCCATCCTATCCAGCCATGTCTCCGCATACAAAAGCAATACATCCACCACCTAGTATCACGTTCCGGATAAAGATTTTATATCGACCGTGTCACAGGGTGAAAATGATGGCATCAAGTGGTAGGAGAAAGAACGAGGAGCGTTTGCGCGGTGTGGAGGAAGGGGATTTATCGGTACTAAGGTAGCGGTCAACACCTGCACACAAACCCAAGCGCAGAACGATATAGCTTCAAAAGCCAGCGGTTGTATATACCTTTACGAAGCCGATATCTTGCGACTTCTCTCTGAAGCACTACAACCCGAAACTATTAGCATCTCTCAAGTAGACAAAATATTGCCGTGTATCGCATAAACGAGAGTATTCCCCATACCTGACGGCAGACAAGCAGACCATATTTACGGATCAAACCAGCCTTGTGGGCGCAAACGCGGCTATATTCGACAATGTCCCATTAGCCCATCTGTCTTCACTCCCGTTCTCCCTAACCTGTTCATTCCGCATCCCCAACGCATCTAGCGAATAGCCACAGACAACACGGGTAAAACCCGCCGCCCCCTTCTTCCAAAACATCCCAGAAATTCACAAAACGAGTAGGTGATGATATTGCATACCACTGGCGGCTGCCCTTGCCGTAGTTTCTTGGCCGGCTGTAAAACACAGACTCGTGAGTCATCTTGAAGAGATTCGAATCGTCTTTTCTTCCTTGCTCGGGAAAATTGGTAAAACGGTCGCAAGAAACGGTGTTGTCGCGTCGAAGAGGGTCGTTTGGCGTTCGCTGAGCGAAAGATAAATGTTCCCCCAGAGCGTTCCTTGTGTGGTCGTCAATTATTAGGTAAGCACCGGAAGGGAAGCATTAGCGAGGACCTTGCCGGGTTGGGGCTAGTGCGAAAGGCGGGGATGGTGCAATTGCGCCTAACTGGATTAGGACGAGTAGGGCTTTGGCCCTGGATCAGATAAGATAATCACATCAACGTTGAAGGTTTGACTGTGACCCTTGACGCTGGAGCCAAATGCAATGCCGTGCGCGCAGTAAGAGGACATCGCATAAATCTGTTCGTGTTCATGTCTGGTCTAATCTCATCTCATCACATCCGGAAAGGAAATTACTAAATGGCGAAGCCATAGACATAGTAAAAGAGGCGTAACCAGCAAAGAGAAAATATGAAGCAAGTCAAAGCACTTGAACGCCAATAAATGTCGCCAATCCCTTTTTAGTCCCCGCCAACTAAATCAACCTCTCTGTGATGGCCACCTCCCTTTCTCCGGTCTCCAGCTCCTCCTCTAGCACCACCTTCACCGCGCCCAGACTCGTTCGCGGTGTTGGCAGCGGCCATACCTTCCCGAATAAATCTTTCCTTCTCAGAACGAACAACGCCGAGGACATTTTCTAAGCTTCGTCGCCAAACCATCAATCGGCCCTGGACTTCGGACCACTGTCTCTCGCCGAAAACACGGTATGTAGCCCGATGGACCAGGAACTCGCCTTTCAACTGACTTAACTTGCCTTCCACGAGACCGGCACGGATCGTATCAATGACCCATTTTTCAACATCCTCACGTGGGACTCGGAGAGCGGAGGCAATGGAGTCATATGGTAGTGAGCGGGAAGGAGAAGATGCCGCCAAACTGGCAAGCGTAAGGACACGCATTTTGGTCTGCAAAACTTCAGCAGACTCCGCAAGGTTGTGGATGGACGAAAGGGGTGCAGCCTTGATAAACTCCTCATACGTGTCAAGCGTATCGGAGGCGAAAATTTCAAGAAGTTCAAACAAAGAAGGGTCTGCGGATCGGAGGTTCTGGATCGCATCGCTCGAAGTCAGGGGAGTAAAGTCGAACACAAATGGATAGGTGAGAGCTGAGACCAAGGCGCGCACGGCCAATTCACGGGCTTCATCCGACGACGATTCAGAGGGCGGGACCGCTTTCAAGGCTAATACAAGGTGGTTATATGACATCTCATCATCACCTGCTTGTTTGGCGGCATCGGCAATTGCCAGATGTAATTTCTCCACATCCTCTTCGTCGATATTCCACGCCGTAATCCAATGGGAGAGTTGGTTTTTGAGTTGGGTCTTGAGCGCTTCAAACGCCAAGGTCGAGGAGGATGTGCGAATAACAGCCAAGACAGCGAGGAAAACGTGGTATCGGACGCCATCGGAGGGAGCGAGGGTGTTAAAAATGGTGCTGAGGATAGAGAGCGCAATAGAGGGCCCGTGTTGCGGAGCCGAGGGGAAGGGTTTGGCCAGAAACGCGCAGATTCGAGGCAGGAACATGCCAGGGTTCGAGGATTGGCGAACAAGGTGAATGACAAGATTATAGGCGGCGGTGATCTCTATACAAACGTAGAAATAATATTAGATTAGCCCCTTCACCACAACGAAGCGCAACTGTCATAATATTGGAACAGAGGACAATCCCACCTTTCTCAGGCGCTGCGTTCAACGCCGCAGACGCGACAACCAACTTCTTCAGCGCTTCATCTCTGTCCTTCAGCACTTGCTGTTGCTGAGTCTGGCTGGCCTCTTCTTCCGACTGCTCTCTTTCGCGTAAGCTGTCGAGTATGGGAGCGATTTCAGCGTGGACAGAGCCCTCCGTTTGAGTTTTGCGGATGGTGTCAATGTAATGAGCCAACTCCTCCGCAAGTTCGGAGAAGGAACCCTCGATAAGAAGGGTGTTTGTAGGAATCGCCATGGTTCCCTCTCTGTAATTGGGCTGGTAGCGAGAGAGTAGCGAAATCGATTCAAAGAGGGAGTCGTGGTTGAAATCTGCCTTGGCCCAGCAAAGTCATGTTCCGATTCTCTTCTTGGGCGAAATTTCTTGTGTGGATGGAAGTCTTGGCAAAGCCAGTCCGGCCACCACCAACTACAAGGCAAGCTACTACTCAACAGCCAACGCCCGTCTTCCTACGCCGCTTCTACATGTTTGTTTCTTGCAGTCGAAAAGGAATAGCTACGATGGCGATCATGGGGAGGTTTCAAATTTTAAGAATGACCCGGAATTCATAATCCTGCTTCCATGAGACAGTGATACATTAAAGGGCGTAACGATGCATCTTTACCTAGAGCCGAGGCTCAGGAAGCAAGCAAATACATGAAGAAATCATCAAGTAATCTCTGCGAAATAAACCGATTGTTGGAACAGAGTTGTCGCTTGCTTGAAATGCGGGGTGTCTCATAAACATGTTGCAGAACAAAGCAGTGCTATGACAGCAAGCGAGGACGCATTTAAGCAAGGAAACCAAAGGCTCCAGCGAAAAGGGCAGCAAGGATCCTAAGCGAATAGTCCTGTGCCATATGAACAGCTGCAGCGGCGCTGGTAGTGGTTGCAGCAGCACTCGAGGCCGAGGAGCTGACGACTCTAGTTCTAGTTGGCGCAGAAGTTATGCTAGAGCGAGTCGTACTAGTGGTTGAGCTGGAACCGCCGGCATCGAGCGTGCCACAGGACTTTTGGGCCTCCTTGCATTCTCTTTGTCCGTCAAGATCGTTGGGGTGACGGTTGATGCATTGCCCAAAGTTGGCCTGGCAAATAAAGTATGGAAGAGTGTTCTTGTAACTTTCGACGTCGGGAGCAGTTCCGTTACCGCAGACGCATTCGAAAGTCAGTCTAGACTGTTGATGGGGTGACGGCCATGGTCAGCAAGCCAAATGATAGGTCGATTGGATACGGCTCACTCACTGCGTCGCATCTGTTTGTTTTCGCAAAACTCTCGCAGATCTTGGGGCAGGTATCCAATTGGCCCTGGCACCAAGCGGCTAATTTAAGTGTCAGTGCGGGTTCCAAGTAAAGTAGCTTTCATACAAAGCTGGAGCAAGATCTTCTGTCACGAACATTTTTCACTCGGATTGACCAGAGAAGGATCAAAGCCTGGAGGAGGAGTATAGGACTGCTGCGCGGAAACGGCTGCAGTGAGGAGGGAGGCAGCAACCACAAGAGCCGATGAGAGCATTTTCTCGCAAACTCAAGAGATCAGCAAGCGTCTTTCTAGTTGAAGTCGAAAGGCAGTTGAAAGTCAGCAGAGAGAACAAAGCTTTTTCAATTCCCACAAAACTCACTCGATTCGAAAACAAAAAAGTGATGCTGGTGAGTCTGCAGTTTGGTAGCACAAGGGAATCCAGTGGTTGCAGCGAGAAGAAGCCGAAAGCTGAAGCTGCACGCGGGGAGTCGATTGGCAGGAGCGACGGGTTTGTTATTGCTGGGAAGCGGAAAAGGAAAGAAGCATAAACAAACAGCGAGCCCAGGGGGGAAAGTACCACAGGCAACTCGTCCCTTCCTTAACGAGGAGAGGGTTGCACGAGATCGCGAGATGCCCAATCGGGTAAGGCGCCAGACACCCGGCTGCTCCCTGCCCACTAAGCCTAGTGTGGTTTAGCCCGTGGGACCTGATGGCCAAATGCCGCACGATGATTGGACGATCATGTCAGCCACAGATGTCATCTTCCCCAGCCAACTAAAAGTCAATCGGTCGTCTGGCATGGGTTTCGGCATTGCTGCATCGGGAGAGGCTATTTGGCTGTTGATCAGCAACACTGTCGACGGACAGTAACTCGCCAATAGCGCGAAGGTGAGCAACGATCTCAAGCCTTCCTAAATTCGAAGCACTTTGGTTGTGATGGATGGTAGATCTTGAGACTTGTCAAGAGAACATTTCATTTTGCAGTGGCAGGAACCTTGTCCCCCTCATTTCATCAGCAAATTGTTTCATCCTACCACTGGTTTCGGAGTCGTCCCTTAAATGATTTTATCTCCAGGACTAGTTACATTTCTCCCACCATTCAGGAGTGCAAACCTGGGTGAGCTGAGCAGTTGAATCGATCTCAAAGCCAGAGTCTGAATCCCTTTGGTAAAGAATACATGATATTTGCAACAAACCTTGTATATAAACTCAAGGGGCCTCAAAGGTTCCGACAATCCATCGAAATTTCTACCAGAACTTTAGCGAACCCGTTTTTTATAGGCACGGCCCCAGTCAAACTCATTATAATGCTAACCTATGCATATACACACTAATGCCATTCCATTCTAGATGTGTTGTCCTCAACAAGCCTTTCCGACCCAATATCTATATGTTTGGCTTAAGCCCTCTATTCTTCCTCTGTTAGCGACATACTCGGTTGCTGCACCAATTCTTGTGGAGGCGATTCGCTTTCAGACCATTCCTGCTTCCATTCCTCGGTCACATCCGTTCCATTGATCTTCACCAGCACCGGCTCTTCCGTCGTTGCGTCAAGCAAAAAAACAGGATCCAACGTCTGCACCCAGTCATGGTATTCCACAAACTCATAGAACTTCCTTTTCGGGGCCAACCCCATCTCTCTTCGCAAAACCGCCATTTTCAGATCCCGATGCCATTCAGGGCGACCCTCGTAGGCAGGACCAATGAGCCACGCCACGGTTCTTGTCCGGTCAAAACACGACCTGTGTCTATCGTGGAGGTATCGAATCTCATCAATCGTGTCGTGAAGACGACGAGCGTGTGGGTTTTCAGGGATGCTTGCAAGGATGACCGCTTTCTCCGCAAGAATCATGATCACAGTACTTTTGTCAAGGTGATCCACGCCGATTAACGGCGTCTCTGAGAACAGAGAGAATTTTACCGCGTAGTCCGCCGATATAGAAATCATACGGCGGCCATGCCACACGTGGGCCCTCTCGCGGTTTTCAAGATCATACGAGGTTTGCGTTCCGCGCTCAAGCAGGGCTGCCTGTCCGGCTGTAACTTCTGGTTCAGTTTGGGTTGATCTATCTGAGGACTCCGGCTCAGATGTCTCGGGTATCGGTGACAAGGGATCGCTGCCTGGAATTGTGGGCTGGGGCAGGAAGGGTTCCATCAGGCTGAAAGATTCCGGGTTCAAACCAACGTTGAATAATAGAGAAGATTGAACGAAGCAATGGGCTCCATTCAGCACCATCAGGTTCGGGGCAGAAAGCGAGCGGATTTGGGGTTAAAAATGAATGCTGGGAGTTGACCGCAGAGCGTGTTCAAATGGCAATGGAACTTCGGAAGCGGGCGACTTCCATGACGGCCACGCTTACCAATATCAGCTCAAATCTGCGAAGAAACCGCGTTTGTATATATCAGTTGCTCTGCACCTGCCAACTGGCCAGGGCTCATATATCACCAAACAGTGGCTACCCATAGTGCTTTGTGATATCCGGCGTCTCCAGCCATGTTTTGAGAAAGACATAATCTTATCCTAATAATATTGAAGCGCTAGTTAGTTAACTAGTTAGCTTACCAGGTTCAATCCATTCCGAGAAGCAAAAGGAAAAAGCGACCATCCACAGGTCCAGTGGAAACGGGTTGACAGGACATTGTGCTAGTTTTAAGCCATTCAACAAGTAAAAAATTCAGTAGTTATCATCCCCAGTTCAGTGAGCAGATGTGATAAAAACTATCGGCTGAGTCAGCCTGCTTGTGCCGAGGTAAACTCAGATCCATCTCGATTGTGGGCTCAAGCGTGGACTGCCTGATATTCTTTGAAGGGAACTAGGGATTGATGAAGTATCCTCCGCTCGGATATCGTTTCTTTCGCGTATCCTCGTGCGTCTGCCCTTTTGCTCTATCCAGGTGAACTTGCTGGCGACCTTGAGGTTTCCTCCAGCCATGACCCAAAACACTGATGCCTCCTCGGCCTCTCGCAACAACAAAGAAATTCCGTACACGATTCCTCCTGCGACCCTATCCGCCTTCCAGTCGAATCCATGGACTTCCTCCTTCATTTCCAAGCCGGAATACCGAGCTATTGAAACTTCCGCCCGGGTGAAGAAGCCTCTCGGTGAAGATGCTTTCTTTGCGGAAACGATAGCGACACCAACCACAATTCCACACTGTCTCAGTCTTCAGCGCCGTCATCCCTCTCCGCCACCTTCAGTGCCGCCATCGCTACCTGCTCCGCCAGCAAAATGGCCCAAAATAACTACCCCGCCAGACCTGGTCACTCTGTTCGAGTTTGGCAACCCGGGAATCAGCGGACACCCAAACACAGCGCATGGGGGTGTGATATCGACGTTGATCGACGAAATGATGTCTGTCGTTATTGCAATGCATATTCCCGGCTATATATTCAATGAAGCTTCGGAGCGTGGTAGGATATACACCTTGCAATTGGACGTACGGTTCCGAAATCCGGTCTACGTTCCTGGGCTCGCAGTGTTGAAGATATGGTGCATTGCGAAAGTTGGAAGGAAATTTTGGTTGAGGGCGCAGGTATTGCAGGAAGAAGGGCTGGGAGATGAGAAGAGCGGTGCTCAGCCGCTAGAGTGGGCGAAGAAGAAGATTGTGTGCACGGAGGCGATGGGATTCTTTTTACAGACAACGAGTGAGAAGCTATAAGCGCTTTGTATCAATAGACGCTAGACATTTGAAGATAGACTATGTCTAAGCAGAGGAAGAAAAGAGAAAAATGCTTGATATCATCTAAACGTACCCAGCGACCGGCTGGAGTCTAATTATTTACATACAAAATCATATCTCTATATAACCCAAACAAAGCCGTGATATTGGCGATGTGACTCAGAAGATTCCTGCAAGATTCCGCTATGAATCATAGCTTAATCGACTTGCCGTTTCCGTTCCCATTGCTCCCCCTTTCACTTGTATTCCTTTCCGCGCCAACCACCAATGCAACATGATTGCTCAGCGCAACGATATCTCCGGCCTCATCCAACACAACGATATCCAAATCCATTCTTCCGTTATGCAAGGTCTTTGTATGCACTCTGGAGTATAACCACTGCACCCCTTCCTTTGGTAATCTCTTTTTGAATTCCACGTTGAGCAACACAGTGGGATACCAAAACCTACGCGTCCCATCCTCCTTTTTCTGCTCCTGCTTCTTCTCCCACGGCTTGGAGTCAAACGTCTCCAACATCATGGGAAACATATCCACCAAGAACCCCAGAGCAGGATTCGTCCAGGGCGCGAGGCTTCCGTACGGTTTAAACCGCACCCACTGCTCCACGAACCCGCGCTTCACACGCTCCAACGACTTGGGCGTGTAAATCTCAAGCTGCTTGGACGCCGTCCGCATCGACGTGAACGCCACGGCAAACTGCGACCAGGCTCCATCCTTGCCGTCCCTGGCCAGTTTCGCCAGGTCCACGGGCGCGGACCCCCCGCTTCCCGGCTCGGGTTTGGGAGTTAGTTCGAACCCTGTGACCATGCTGGGTCCTTCTTCCGTGTCGAAATTGGACATGGTGATGTACGCCGCAACTTCTTCGCGGAGACCCCCGTTTTTGTCCGTCTGTGAGAGCGTGATGTGCAAGGTTGAGGTGCGTGCGCCGAGTTTAGTGTCTTCGACGCGGAATGTGGCAGGGCCAGCTTCCGTTCGGCGGAGGAACGTTAGATGCATGGTCATCGGGTCGGCGCAGCCATTGTGCCTGGTAGGATGGTTCAGGCGCATATGCGTGCAGGCAACGTTTAAGAAAGCGGATGTTATGTAGCCGCCATGAGGGACTAGTTTTCCTCCATGTTAGCAGAGGAGGCTTGCAGAGTACTGGGAATAAGCACATACCAGTCCCTATGCACCACTCCAGCCGCAAAGTCGCAGCATACGTGTGAGACGACAAAGGCTTAACTGCAATTGCTTCATCGAAGCTCCGCGCCGGCTGAACGGCCATTATTTGTAATCTCTGATTACTTTCCCTCGTCCTTTCGGCCTTTCAACGCTTGATAAGGGGTATACGCTTTTGGTCCAGGGATAACTATGTCTCTTCAAACCAAGCTCGAGATCTCGATATCTCGTAGATTCCTCAAAGGCTGTAGCTTTGTGGCAGGCTTGAGGGAGAGTATAAGAATGAAACCAAGTATATCAATCGCCCCCGCAAGCCCTCGCTCTCGACAAATACTCGCATATGCCTTTCGGCGCAAACTGTCGGCGATTTTCGATGCGATAAAAGTCCCCTGGAGCCTAAGTTACCTCGGCCCAATGCCGGCCTTGGCGAGAGTGCTTGGCAGCCCTTTCGTCCCATCTCTTTCTATCCACTTGAATTGCCTTGAATTGCGGCAATGTACATACTGATGTTTTGACATCTTTGAACATATAAACAGCTACAGCGGAATGCGCTTTACGAAATACTCCTTGTGGATCAAAATCTCCTAAAACTTTTGAAAGCCGTAACTAATTAAGTTACTGTAATGTATTTTACACATTTGCTTTGGAAGAGAGAACTGCAAATTGTCCCGGAAAGCACAAGCTGTGGGCATTGGGTGAGCTAAATTTTATACGGAATCTCTCGATCAGCTAAATACTCATTCGGCTCAACGTTCTGCGAAATCCCAGCAAGTTTTCCAAGGCAGGATAGAACCCCTAGAAATGACGTTAGCCTCCAAACAAATTTCCCATATCTCTTTCTTTTTCAGTGTCTCAACTCACCTGTCACTCCCTGCGTCAAGGTAGCTTTCGCCTCGGTGTTCTTTGATCCAAGTGTGACAGTCGCGATATTCTTGATCAGACCTTTTTCTTCCAGTCTATTCGCCCAGCGGAAAACAGCTTCGTCTTCGCGACCGTCGCCGGCAACAAATAAAAAGTCCGGTTTAGCGGTACTGTCTCCGTCTCTGTCCGCTCGCGCTAGGATGTGCTGAAGAACGCGGTCCGCGGCCGTGGCTTTGTTGGGGCTGATGGGCTCGGCGATCACGGCACCTTCGATGGTTACGGCGCGGATCCGATGTTGCTGGCAGGTATCGTTGATGTGGTTCGCACAGTCTGAAGCATGTCGTTCTGCCGTCTGCGGGTCTTCGGCGTTGTCATAGTGGAAGACTAGCGAGGCGTGGCGTTCTTCGATCCAGCTACCTTCGGTGCGGACATGGAAGTAGTTGATCATATCAGCCAAGCTATCTTTCCATTCTTGCGTCTCCTCATCGTCGAATAACTTGATCCATTCTTCTCTATTTGATTCTCGAACGAAGCATCCGTTTTCAGCGATGAGGCCTAGGCCCGGAACCTGCCGGAATAGCCGCTCCATTTCTTCAGGCATCCTAGAACTCATCACGTAGACGATATTTTTCGGATCTTCAAGCAGGTCATTCAGTGTGTCAATTGCACGCTTTGGTGTTGTCAAGACAATACTAGTAGGTGATCCCCAGGATGCCAGGGTGCCCTCGTAGTCGACGATGAACAGTCGACGAGACGATGCTTTGTATAGATTGATCAGTTTCATGACGGATAACCGAGGAATAGACACGTTATCACGGCACGATTGTTCGTCGAAGGCTTTATCTAGAGCGGCAATATATTTCTTGATCCATTTGTCTGTGGTATGCGCATTGACCGCTTCATTGAGTTTCGTCCACTGGTGTTCTCGTTCCTCTGGAGACATTTCCAACGCAGTATTTAGCGCATCAGCGCACTGCTGGTAATTCCATGGATTCACAAGTAAAGGGTGTCCATCAAAAATAGAGGCGCTTCCGGTAAATTCACTAAGGATCAACGGGCCATGTTTCTTGTCTGAGAATTTCCCGTCCTGGCAGTGGATGTACTCATGGCTAGTCAGATTCATGCCTTCTCGTAGGCTTGTAACCATAAAAACATCCGCGACTGATATCAGAGCAAGATACTGAGGGAAAAGGAGATCTTGTTTTAAGAAAACAAGAGGTTGGTGGGCAAGGCTGGAGTGAACGGAGTTTACTCGAGTGGCTATGTCCGAAACTGTCGCGTCTAATTCTGAATGTTCAGCACCCGAAGATGCGACCTGAATTAAGACCACCTAAAGCATCGGTTTCGTCAGCATATGTTATTTTCAACTCTTGTCTTACGGCCGGGTATAAACTCACGCTGTCTCGCCATTTAGGATACTTGTTGAGGAACAGTTCAAAGGCAAGGAGTTTCTGTCTTACGCCGCGAATATTATCCAGTTTGTCTCTAGCCACCACAAGTCGTTTGCCTTGGTATCTTTCCTTTATTTTAGTGATCCATGTTTCAACATCTGTGCTCCGTCGTCTAAGATCTAAAGCGGGAGGATGAATTCCAATTGGGAATGTTCCAACATTAACGAATCGATCCTCAAGCTGAACCCCCTCGTTTGTAGCCTCAACTGTTAGAATCCGGCTGCAGGTCTGGAGGAAATGATGGCAATACTCTGGAGTCTGGAAGCCGATCAGGTTAGCCCCGAGAATCCCGTAGAGCAATTCTTTGCGGACGGCAAGACACCTGAACACTTCAGAAGACGGGAACGCCGTGTGAAGGAAGAATCCAATTTTGGCATCAGGCAATTGTTTCCGAACCATGGATGGGACAAGGAGCAGATGATAGTCATGGACCCAAATAATATCGCCTCGTTTCCAGTTGCGGACAATTCGATCCGCAAATGCTTGATTGACGGCTTTGTAATAAACCCAGGAGTGATCCTCGTAGGCTTTGCTTTTGGGATTATCCGGAATTTGGTAGTGAAACACCGGCCACATGATGGTTTTGCAAAAATGAAGATAATGACCATCAAAATCCGAATCGTTCACAAAAACAGTCAGGCATTCATTGTCAACTTCCAGTTTCTCCGCGATGGTATCTTTGACATGCTCTTCAAGGGCATCCGTAGGCATCCCTAGGGTTCCCACCCACAATTTCTCTTTAAGAGCATCCTCGTCAACTGCGGAACGGATCGCGTTGAAGAGGCCGCCATTCCCTTGTTCAGAGGGCTCTATCGTCCATTTGGCGTCTGAAAAGGCTGGCTCTGGCGGAGCTGTAACGAGTTCATCCTGTTTAGGAGGGACAGATATCTTCCTTACCAGCTCCGATGTTGGGCCAGGAATGCTGCTATGATTCAAGATAGAGGAGGAGGGAGACCGGCTGGGTCGAGGTCTAGGCTGGTTGAACACGCCGGTTGCTCCCCAAAGGGGGGCATGAGGGTCACTGGGGGTCAGTGGTTGAAGCTGTCCGTCTTCGTTTCTTGGGAGAAAGTCCTGGGGCATCAATTTATCCGAAGGCGGGGCGAAGATGCGCGCATGGTCCTTGAGGAGATTGGGCTTGGTTGCTGTTGGTGACACAGGGGCGGCGACTGATTTTCTGGGGAATAGAGTATTGTACGCTCTCTTGTTGAGGTCAGCAGAGCTCTCGCGGCTATGTCTCCTCCTCGGACTCGGCGGTGGTTTCTGCTGAGACGATCCTTCGGGGAGGATGAAATTGACTGTGTGCGGGAGAAATCTGGATTATGCCACAATTGTGTTAGAACAAAACAATGGATGAAGCTGAACTGAGTTTGTGAGCTTACAGAGAGACAATGAAGATTGTCATGTTTGCGGATATCTAGGCACGGCGTTGCTGCGGAAGAAGTTTGCTACGGATAATGACAGAAGACTTGCACAAGCACCCAATGCAACGAATGTGCTGCCACAAGGAAAAGGTGGGCGAGGAGTGTGCACTGAAGGGGCTGATATCTGAGAAAGTCAATGGGTAAAGGGAAGGGATTGAGAGGAAACGATGATATCTAAAATCCACAATTGAAGATCTAAGCACCGGTGGTACGAGAAGCATCTCCAAGATTCGCTCTGTCCAACCTGACTTTTTGAGCGGTGACTTTACCTTGCCGTCGCCAAATCCGCTCCACCACGCAGAGAATTCAGCCTACGTCATCTCGGTGGCCATGGCCGCGGGTGCTCCCGGTAGAAAAACGGGCAGACAAGACGGCGGTTACCTGGTAGCAACACTGCGCGGAAGATGGGCTAACTGGCTACGACCACACGGCGGCAACGGGATGTGAAAGGCAACTAATCTGCGTCCCAGGGGACGGCTGGGCATCTTGAGTCCTTTCAACGCGCAAGTGCAGACAAAGGGGCAAACTTGGGAGAGCCGTGAAAGACAACGAAGCAGATGGAAGAGAAGCTTGATAGAAGAGTGACATCAATCCCGTACTTGGCAAGGCCTAGACCTGCATGCATTCTGGGCGCCAGTGCGACGGTGGGTGCAGGCGAACGTCATTCTGCTCGGTTTTCAACGACAACGACGTCTTTGCCACTGGGATCCCCGTCGCCGTCGTTGAAGAGGCGTTGATATCGCGATGGATGTCGAGAACCCTCTTGTAATCCCACTCACGCTAGTTGTATCGCAGTTGCGGTGCTGGGAAACTTCGGCCCGATGAAATCCCGAGAGGTGCCGATATAGCTCGAAGAAAGAGTAGGAGAGATAACTATCCAGAAAACAACCAAGAGATAAACAAGCAAAAGGGTATAACAAAATTTGAGAGGGATTAAGTAAGAAACTGTCACCTTTCACCATGAAGTTCATATAAATGGTTATTGAAACTCTGGTCAACAGCATCTAGTTCCGACGGAGACTCTGTTTGTTTGACCTCAGCCGACGATGCAAAAACTGTCTGGTGGACGGCGCCAGTCTACTTCTAAGTCTGGATGACGTGATAATTACCTGCTATGCTCATTGATCCATAATTCTGACACTGGCATACCATTGATGCTTAGAGCCAAGGTTGGCATGTATATCTGAAGTCATGCCTGCCGGTTGCCGCCCACCCAGTTACTGCTTGATGGAAGAGATGCATTTGTCAATCAGCTATCTAGTTGTGTTCTTCCAGAACAACTGTGTCTCCTCTATATACCCTGTTTTCTCTACTGGTACCTCCCACTCTGTTCGGTGCGCTTCAGCAATAGTAAGATATGGTTCCATAGTATCATTCAGCTTCGCAGCAGGAGTTCCTGGAAAGTGTACAAGAAGATCCCCAGGTTGGACCTGGAGATGGGCGGGAGAATCTGGGTTTGGATCTACTCCATTTGGTGCTCTCATGTATGCATTGAACCATCGCAGGGGACAGTACACAACAGACTGTGTGAATTGTTTATTCTCTTTGAAGAGACTGCTCATTGCTGACTGATCATACCAGAAAAGCTCAACATCTGGCTTCAGATGTGGGTAGGCTGCTGCAGCAATAAGCAAATTGACAGACCATTGATGCACGCGGATAAAAAAGACACCATTGTTCACGCCATTCCAGTCTTTGCTGAGAAGGATATGGATGGTCGCCAAATGTGGTGGTGGAAGAAAAGTTTCCAGGGGCATGTTGGGATTCAAGAGCACTGAATCAGCATCAAACCAACTGTCAAAATGTCAATCAGCTTTGGTGGATAATAATGTCTACATGAAATAGATTGCAAACTCACAATAACCACTTCAGACGCATATCCGGTGGCTTCTCCAACTCCTCCAGCAAGACTCGGAGAAGAATAGCAATTTTGTTCCAAAACCCATCCAGGACAGGACGCCGCAAAATGGTGAGAGGATATCCATGTCGGCGAGCATGTTCTTTGTGTGTTTTCAATGCCCTCTCATAAATTGGTTTGTTGCCATATAACATGGTCACTTTACCAATTGTTTGTCGGGGTGGAGAGGATTGAGTGGGATCCCGCTCGATGTTGCTCAGTATGACAGGCGGTTTCTCGTGCTCAGCCTGTGGCTCAGACTTTGGAGTGTAGCTCGCTGCAACCAAGGTCAGTGTCTCATGAAACATTCGCTTGACTTGGAAAGGTTTCACTCACGGTAGCTCAAAAATAGATTGAAAAACCAAAAAATCGCAAGAACGGTCAGAGCCGCTTGGAAGACAATTTTAGGTTGAACCCGCAGGCTCCAGTGGTACCCAAATATACGACGTTTTCGAGTGCAGACATGCGCCATCACTTTCAAAGGGCCTGCCAGCAGACCTGAGAACTGTGGGTTGGATAAGGAGAGAGATTCAAAAGGATACCCAAAAGGGCAGACACGAAGAATTTTGGAGTTTGTTCAAAAGTTTGACAGTGCTTGGAGTGCTGGCAAGACCATGAGGTTTGGGCTGGCATGAGTCTGATAGCGGCATTTTGGCCCTGTTCGGCGGCTATTCGCTCTGCCATCACAAGAATTAAGGTACGGCGATCCTAGGATGTTGACAGGGGCCTTGTCTGGCGCGAAAGAACCTCAAATTCGCATCCTGTGAAACGACCGGGCCAGGAACGGAAGTTGAGCCGAGTTTCCAAGGATCTGTTCGCAGCTAAAATGGTGGGAAGATAATTCTCATAATAATCACTAAGAGGTGATATTTGGTGAAGCTCGAGATGCACTCTGGTTGATCAGCAGTAGCCGTTTTGGCCCATGTGCCCCAGGCCCCCAAATGCTGGATCGACCCTAACATGCTGCCAAGCCGGGCGCCGGTGTGGTGCCAAGACGCCTGTCATTCGACACTGCGAACCGAATGATTCGGAATGCTCCATTGGAATACCTGAATCTCACAGATCTCACTGAGATAGGGAGTCCTTAGACAAAGACTTCTCTTTGTCGGTTTGCTGGTGATTCTACCGTTTCTGCTCCGCCAGTTTGTCAGTGCTATTAGCTTCCATTGCATTTCAACGTCAGGTGAATTATACGCTGAAAATAATTCCTTTCCATTCCATCCCATCGCATCCTGTGCTGTCAACTGCCGCCCTAATACAATAGTCTGCTGTACTTATTTCAGAAGATTTTATTTTTCTCCATTCCGTCTTGGGATTCTTTGCGCAGTATCAATTCGAAACCGTTCGCGTGTGGGTCTCGACACTGTTCCCGCGCCTATAGTCATAGGTGGTCATTCCCCAAGGATAAGCCTCGTCTGTAATCGCGCGGAGCTTATGGAGAAAGTTAGAATACCAGACAGCATTCTTGAAGGTAAACATCGTCCTAACCACCAGCATTCGTTAGAGTCAGAAAGAGCTGGAGATTAAATGATAACTACACTTACATCTGGCCATCAACACGACGGACCCGGTACAACTCATGGGGAAAGTCAGCATTAACATGATTCCCAGTGAACTTGTCTACTTCAATATCTATGATAATGTGGATTTTTGGGTCGACCTGGGGTATGTCAGGGTTCGACGGCTGGATATGGACAAAATGGCGGTCAGAGTTGAGTTCTTCGACTGAGCGGCCGTTTTTCTCGAGATACAACCGAACTGGTTCGTACAGGTCCTCTTCATCTTGCTCAGCTTCTCGCAATCGTAGTATGACCCGCTTGGCCTGATCCATTATTGACTGCGGTGCGAGGGAAGGTTGTGGGGCTGAAGTGGGAAGTTGATGAAGATGAATCGCCGTTCCAGGGCAAATATATATTTGCCTACATGTAAGAAAAATAAGCACATCTACAAGACTGTATTATTGCAGATTTGAAGGATTTGGCTGTGTTGAGCATGATGCCGCTGGGTGGACAGGTGCTTATGTAACTAAGGCAGCAAGGGGTGTCCATTTAGCCGGACCCGATATCATAGGGCTCCGAATTTGATCCCTGGACTGTTGCGGAGAGAAAGATGAGATGACCTGCTGGGGGTTGCACCATGCCACTCCAGTTCACCGCGGCTCCGTCCTCCCGTATCAAAAAAGCTGGAGCCCGCACCCCGAAACGGAATTCCCCCTTTGATCGCCAGCGTCGCATCAAGCCGTCCTCCCGACCCCTTGCCGACAAGTCGCAGCCTCCACAAGGAAGCCCAGCTGGAAGCTATGATGAGCACGGCGGCTCTTATCCGGGCGACCAGCTCCCAGACCTGGGCCCGTCGCACCATATTGCTGAGACGACCCTCGTGACCAGCGTGATCCAGGCCATCCAGCATGTCCAGAATACCATGTTCACCCCGATGCCGGATTCGAGAACCGGCATGAACAGCACCCGAATCGCTGAGGTGTTGAATTTCCGCAAGTCACTGCCGCCAATCGTCTCCATTGCCCATGTCCACGTCCTGCTGAACGCGCCCACCAGAGTGGAAAGAGAGATAGTCGAACTGGCGGGCTCGGCTCGTTTACGGCGACTCTTCATACCTGGACGCGGGAGTGCCTTGGCCGGCTTGGGCGACTGCTTAGTGCTGGTTGAAGACTGGGAGGGCTTGGTGCGCAGTAGCGGATCCCTAGAAGAGTCCTTGAAAGGTGCGCATTCTGCATATTTTTCGAAGGAAGAGGGCGACTAACGACCATGACATCTAGATAAGTTTATCCACCTGCTCCGCTCCAACGCCAAAACTTCCGCTGTATCAGCCGGTCAATTCACCCCAAATGAAACCTCATCTCTAGTGCGAGCAGGTTTTCTCGTATCTCCATCCTCCCTCGCGAAAGATACGCCGCTGTCAATCAATCCCTTCGTCACTGCAGTTCCTACAGAAGAAGTTGGGCATCAGGGCCAGCCGGAAAGCCAGCGGAAGAACACGCGGTCTTTCCGAGACTCAACAATGATCCTTTCTCTCCCCAACCTGGGTCCCTACTTACGACTGGTCAGCGCAGCCCGCTCACGAATGCTCACCATTCTCGAAAGGTCCAAATACAACGAAGTCCCCCTATACCTCCTCCGGGATCGGTGGGACGGAGCTGTCGAGACGCAGCTCGGCGCCGCAAAACGTGCTCGAGGGGAGTCGAGCGGCGTGCTTCCGGGACGGACAAAGAAATGGAAAGAGCTCTACGGATTGAATTTCCGATGGGCCTTGGAAGAAACCCTTGGTGCCGGTTTGATTGAAATATTTGACACCGGTAGCGTTGGTCCAGGCGTTCGGCGTATCTAGGATTGTGAGCCTCGCGCTTGCATCCTCAAGCCTTTGAGAAACGTTACAGTTATTCCGTCGACCAAGTGGTCGGTTATATATAACTAATACTTCATCCTCGTATCTATGGCCGGGAAAAAACGTAGGTTCTCCGGATTGTGGAAGAACTGCGCTTAGTAGCATATCAGGCCCCTGCGATTCTTTCTGCATAGAAACGCCAGGGGATTGGCCTTTACGTCTTCTGGTCAATTGTTATATAAGAGCAAACCTATATCGTTATGCGCCCGCCACAAATAAGGATAACTCACTTACTCAGTGCCTTTATGCTACCTCTCACTCAGCTGTTGAATTGTTACTGACTGTGGCCCTTGTCCTTGTTCTGCTCCCTGCCAGCTGCAGCTGTTAGTTACACATGGGTAACCACAAGGACAACAGTTGTCCCCAACTTCCATCCATTATAGCTTACAGTGGCTCTTCTTACCCCAAGGCGCCCAACCCAGCTGCTCTATAGAGTACATTGGGATACTTCCAACCCTTCAGCCGATATCCCTAGCCATCCTCACCACCCGGCCATGAATATCGCAGATCTCGTCTCCAGGGCACCCGGTGCCAACCGAAGCCGCGCTTCCTCCAAGTCACACCCCCGAGATTCAAATATATCCCGGGATACTTCCCCCATCTGTCACCCACAGCCGCTTTCTCTCATCGACATTCCCTGGCACCACAGCCACAGCGTCTCCACCGGCCGCCGGCACCACCACCCAGATCTAGATCTTTTTATCAAGTACGCCCTCGATCAGGGCCGGGAATGGATCACCATGCGAATGCCCTGGCACCAAGAGGGCAGCAGGACAGCTCCGTCACGCCCGGCCCGGGCCAGAGTGCAGGTGTGCAGTTACGCCGCGCGCTATCGGCCGTACAAAGAGACCCCGGAGAATAGGGGCCCGTGTACAGACTACTGGTTTGGCCGGCGCAGTGTGCATGAGGATGTTGCGAAAACGGGGTGTGCGAGCTTGGGGGAGCTGCGGGACTTGCTGAAAGATGATCATGCTGAGAATGAGATGCGTTACAATTCAGATGTGGTGAACGTGGAGCGCGTGTCGACGTATGACCTGTCAAAGGTTGCTGTTGGGGGAGGTTGGAGCGATGTTACCGCCTGTGGTGAGTTGATTCTGATATGGCGCGGCTCGTGGTTTATATGTCTGGGAGATGCACACCCTCTTCACCGATTCCAGGACATTGGTCGCAACATGTCCCCAAAACTGCCTGCGAGCCCTGACGCTTGACTCCTAGTCAATTTGATCACGCATAAATACCCAATGTGTACCACGCGTTGTTATACTATTCTAGAAATAACCGCCGCACTGCCCCCGGCCGCTACTCCCAAAGCTTCGCAGATAAGCCCTTCTTTCAACCCCCAAGATACCACCAACCCGCAAACCACAACCTCAGGAACCCCAGCCCGCCCGGGCTTTATAATCATCCAGCTCCCGCTCCAGCACTCTGAGCTCCCGGAAGCAAAACAAACCAAAACCACCAACTGCATATTCGCCAACTACATCTCCATCGAGATGGTTCGGCGCCTAGACGGCGTGCACAAGCGTCGAATCGAGTGGACCATGGCGACCGCAGCGCATGCCGGGGGCTGGATCCCTGCGTCGCTGCAGCGGAGCTGGCGACTGGGCGGTGTGCCGAAACAGATTGTCAAGGATGTTGGGTTCGTTATGGCGTATCTTGCAACGCAGCGGCGGGCGCGGTGACTGTGGTTGAATTGAGGTGCTTGTTTTCTTTTTTAGGATCGAACGCGCGGTTTGGATGGAGCTGTGCCGGATCTATTAAATTGAATATCCTGCTTGGCCTGGCTGAAAGTGTTGATTGGGAGATAATTTATATTGACAGGGCCTTGACTTTTCTTAAAGTTGAGACCTCTTGTTTAGTTTATCGTTAACTACCCTTTTTCTTTTTTTTTTTCCTTTTCTTTAAGAATCGAATTGTTTCACCCGATAATAACTCTCCATTAACTAGCTGGCTGTTAACATATTAAGAGTTACTTCAACTACCCCAAATTACAAAGGTTTGAGTGCCAACTTGTGAACCGAGACAGAGTAAGATGCCAATGATTACTTAGTTATTTACACAACTGTGCCTTTGCTATTTTCTACTTTGAGCAAACTACGGAGTATAGTGCCGAGTAACACTTACATAGAAGAGGCCAGGCATTCGCATACAACGGAACTATCACAGGGAAAAGTGGGAAGAGATGAAGATATCTGTCAAAGCACCTCAGCTGCTATTAAGCCTCAAGTACCATACATGTATACTGGCATAGCGAGCACAAACACCACCCAGTTCCCTTTCACCACCAATTTTGACCAATAACCACCTGGAAACAGATTCAAACAAAAGATTTCAAACTGAAAAAGGAAAAGGGTAGGAACCGTAGAGGCCTTGAGTCAAAGCCGTGAAAGTGGAGAGATTGCAGGCAGCAAAAGCAGTAGCATACATGGTCCCTCGCTTAAGGTCAACGCGCAGAGAAAATAGGATACATACATCAGGGTGAAAAAAAGGAAGCTCGCACCCTGGGCATCGACAATGAGAATATATAAGGTGAATCGCGAGTGACCTATATCTATCCACCTGGGCAAAAGCAGGCTATGGAGGTGAAGCTCCGTTTTCCGCAAACAGACAAATGAGCATGAAAAGGGTTAGGCAAAGCAGCTCGCACATCGCACAAGAACAAACTAGAAATGAGAATGGGTATTTAGATAGGCAACGTAAGAGGTGGCTAAATAGATAGGCGACACAACAAAACGGAAGATGATGAATACACTTGAGTTTACACAAGCATATTCCAATATCCCCCCATATTTTTGGTGTCTCAAATACCAATATCTTGAGCATGGCCCAGATAAAAGCACTTGCGGCTCAATCACAATGCTCCCAAAGCAGCGATATGTCCACTTCTTAATCAACGGCTTGCACCAGATTTAGAAGCCAAAAAAGTGGTAAAAGGCTGCATTGCTTTCAACAGTCGAAAGAATATATATCTGACTGAGACAAGTCAGGTTTAAGGTACTGGTAGGATCGAGACAGGTATGTCACGTCGCGATAATAAATGCTCCTTGAATCGATCAAGTATTGAATCTAGCATATGGATAGACGGAACAGCCGGGGATTCCGCTACGGCGCACTCACGCGCCGTTAGCACCGGAATTTGACATGTTTCCTCCCGCGCCACCATTTGCAGCGAGCTGTTCTCGTAATCTCCCAACTTCTGCCTCCAAGCCGTTCATTCGCGATTCTAGGGACCGTATATAATCCCATACTCGATCATTAGGCGGAATACTAAGTCCCACACTAGGAAGAGAGGATTGTCGCTGTTGCGAAAAGCTATTAGCATTAATATTATTACTGTCGGCGTTGATGTCTGTGCTCGAAACGGTGTGCGAAGAACGGCCCTGTTGTAGATGCGAGTCGGTGCGATTATTGACGGAATGGATGTTGGAAATTGATCCTTGCGTATTCATGCCTTGACTGTGTAGGGTATATCGAGAATCGGGAGGATTTAGACCGTGGGGTGGTGGAAGATGTGGCGTGCTAGGTTGGGGCGAAGGAAGGCTCAATGGCCCTGGTCCGGTAAGCGAAGGAACCCCAAGCGATGCCCCTGAGCCCTGGCGGCTCCGATTGAACGGTGACTGTCCCTGTTGGAATTGGGGTTTTAAGTTAGGCGAGTGGCCCGGAGTAAGTTGTTGCTGCGGATGGGATGGCGGAGGGAGTGTATTCGATTCAGGGTGGCTGAGTTGGTGCGGCGAAAGTGCACTGGGAGAGAGAGGCTTCGGGCTCTCAGTCATCGTCGTCTGTACAAATATTGACGGTGAAGAGCCTTGATGACTAGGGTTAAAAGACGAAGATCCGCTGCCAGGCGGATATGACGGTGATATTGGAGAGGGTGATGCCGACGAACCGGGGTGACTGGGAGCAGGCGGGAACAACCCACCCGGCGAGCGGTTGCCGCCTATCGGAGGATATGTGCTTGACTGATGGGGCCCAAAGGAGACATGGCGCCCAGCGGCCGTTTGCGCATGTGGCTCAGGGGTGACATTATCTTTCCTGATACTGGGTATGCTCAACCGTCTCTCGTCCTCCTCGTCCATGCGCTCGGGTTCCGTATACATCAACCCCTCCATGGCATCATCTTGGTTCGTGCCAGAGCCACCCTGTTCGGGATAGTCGTCTTCAGTACCGAATCCACTCATACTCGTCCTGCGTCCCGCACAGCCCCCTGAGCCTTTGTTATGTCGTGCTAGAGCGTCTCCGCGCGCAAAGCGCCTGCCGCACTTGGGGCAAGTGTGAGGGCGCTCACCGGTATGCAGCTTAGTATGGCGTTTGAGATCATGTAGACGCCGAAAACGTGATTGGCAAGTTTGGCAAACGTAGGGCTTTTCCTGGCTGTGGGTGAGTAGATGGCTCTTAAGGTTATGATGGCGCGTAAACTCTGTAGAGCAATAAGGACAACGGTGCCTTTTAGTAGACGGGGAGCGCGGGCCTCCTTTGTTCAAGCCCGAATGGGGGAGACTCATGCCGCGCCGAGGGTCGTTGAGATTTGGACTTGGCATGGGTACAGGATAAGAAAAAGCTTTGTTGCTATCCTCCAGCATCGACTCTTCCTCCCTACGATGAGACCTTTCTTCCAAGGGATTATCTTCCTCAATGGGGCCCGGGCTTGCAACTGTTGTGCTGTTCATCACGGTGCCCTGGTTATCCCCATTGCCAAATGAGTCTGGCAAGCTGACTGGGCTTCCGCGTTGCGGGCGACGCTCTCCGCGTTCCTCTTCTGCCGAGCGGTGACCCGACTTGGATTGTGTGGACTGGGAGGCTTGTCCAGAGGTAGAATCGTCGGATTTCCCCGATTCAACATTCAATACCTCACCGAGAGCCTCGCGTGCGGTTTGTAAATTACTACGTCGACCGGCGTTGTGGGCCTGCTCCCCTTCCCCACGTCGATCTGAATTCCTCGCCCCGGACATTAATTGCGGAGACAAATGCCGTGATCTGTCCATGGGAGACGACGGAGACACACGTAGGCTGGCGTCTGCAATTGATGATAGGCCAGGATTCGGGTTGGCGTTTTCTGATTTTAGAAATATGGAGATGGAGTTTGGAAGCTTAGGAGGCGATGAAACGGCGTCTGGTGCTTTGCGAAAAGCGGTCGATTCGGGACCCTGGCGGAAAGGCCCTTCCATAAAGATACCCCGGAGGTGGTCAGTTTTGTGAGCCGGGAGGAAGCAGGTTTGCGGCTGGAAGCCGGCAACGGGCGAACTGCTAAAAACTTGGGACGAAGACATGATTAGTGGGCTATTACTGGCGCTGGAAGAGGGAAGGGAAGAAATAGAAAACGGGAAATCATCAGGCAACGAACAAGCGAATTCGTCAGGGTTAAATGTTATTTTGATAGTCCTGAAAGGAATGGCTTGGGGGCTCAGGGAGGCATTGAGGATCCAACCGCAAGGCGAACCGGAGATGGAACCAAGGGGCCAAGCGGCACCCGAAAATGGAAACCACGCGAGGGAACGGCAGTGTTGGCGAGAAACGACGGCAGGGAAAACGGGGAACGGAGGGAGGAGGATTGGATTGCAGGCGAAGCAGAGGAGAAGAGACTCACGAGGATGGCCGAGTCCGCCTTAGCAGGTCAAGTGTGGCGCAAGCTGACAGGCTTCCCGGTCGTGTTTTGGATTGGCTCGCTGGGGAGGACTGTGATCGTCGCGTCAGAATTGGATGCTCATTCGAGGGCTCGCCGGTGCAGCGATCAGCCCGGTGAGATTTAGCGAGGAGCAGACCGTTCTGAGTGTGCTTGCAGCTGTGCGTTCGTTGAGCTCAGTCGCCTCGACGACGGGGTGGAAAGGCAGATGCGGATCGAGCGTCTGGCCCTTGGTACCGGAGCCGGGCGTAATTGGTGAACGGAGGAGGAGAGTTTTGCGCAAGCCACAGACGGACCGCAAGGGATTGGTTCCTCTTCCCACACGGCCCTGTGCAAAAAGAACGGGCGATGGGAATGATATCGACTCGCAAGAGAGCAGCGCGAAGACTCGGGGAGGAGGCGCGGCTCTGCGGCCCTGGGCGAACGAGATTCGAGGCACACGTCAAAGCTGGCCAGAGGGTTTGCGCGCCACGTCCTGGGAAGCGAAAGAAGCGTTTGGCAAGCTTCTTGACTACCTTGGCTGCTTCGAAGCAAACGGCGGAGAGCTGGAGCTGTGGAGGATTTCCCAGCAACGGCGGGTGGAGAAGCAGGACGTGGTGCGGGAGGGTTGGCTAGATCAGGTATGGGCGAGTCCCAAGAGCAGAATTACTCGGGCACGGAATACAGCCTGCAGCGAGATGGCATCGTCGAGAAGAAGCGAACAGACGTCGAGATGCGTGCTGGCCGTTTGATATGGCGTTTTGATGGGAAAAAGCGTCTCCATTCAAAGCGAAGCGAGCGTTCCGTCACCAGCCATCCCGTCCTGTATCGTTGGTTACAGTACGGTTACACCCCCATGTGTCAGATGACGAGGGCGGGACCCACTTTGCTGCCGTGGTGTGGCGTGCGTGCTGGCCAGGAGTGGTCAAGTGCCAATACCGCGATGATACCTGAACGGTAATGTATGGTTTGTGACATGTGTATTGACTCCCCTCAAGACGCCGTTGCAGGTCGACGACATCCTACTCTCTATATCTGCTGCTGCCGGGCCACTTTCTCGTCAAGAGTTATTAGTTTCTTATTTCTTTTATATACAAAGCCGAAGCACAGCCAATGACATGGCTGTCCAGCTTCTCCCGCACCGTCGAGGCCACCTGCCTCACCACATGGCTTGATTGAGCCGGAGCGCCCGCGTTTCGAATACAATGCTGCAGTTACGCGTCCGCTGATTCGCCTAGACGCCGGCTGCTATCATCGCAGCTCGTGGCCATTAGCTTGCAAGACAGCCGCGGCGTCGTCTGCGTTGCAGTTCTACTCGTTGGGAATCGTCACAGGCCGACGGATCTATGCATGTGGATGTACTGCCGGGGGAACAATCGACATCACTCAAGCAACCAGCATGGGTGTTTGCTCCTCTTCTTCAATGATCCTAGCTCTGTCCCAACACCAATTGACAAATCCTGTGTCTGCTGGGCTTTGCTGCTGAACGACCACAGCTCCAAGAAGAAACCTGATACCCCCCTTCTCCCAGCGCCGGAACAATGCTCGATCAGCACTACGCCCGTCCTGTCCACTCCTGCCCTCAGCTCCCTCGCCGCCAGCACCCGTCCAACCGTTAAATGGCTTAATACTGCACGTCCGCATTTTGGGGCTGTGCAGCCCAGCCACACTGTGGAGGCCCCGACTGGGTCCATTCACGGCTTCTGATTGGCTAGTAGCGGATGTGGCTTTGCGTCAGAGCCTCAACTCTAACTTGCCTCCGGGCCAATCAGCGGCATCCCTTTGCTGCTTGACGAGAGCTTGTTGCTTTGCTCAAAATCATTGAAGATGAAACACTCGGCCTATATATAGGATATATAGGATATTCCTCGGGTGCAATCACTGCCACTCCATTCCTTGCTCTTCAAGTATATCCTTTGCTGCTCCCATCCTGAAACACGCCGTAACGGCCCCGTCAAGCGCTGGAGCGATTTACAAATATCTGCCAAGTGGTTGAAGACCTTTCAGAAAGAATTGCATTCTATTCTCAGGCAGAAGTGTGCTGTTTCGAACACAAGCAGCTGCGTCCGCATCAAATACCCTGGATGGCACTCCAACCGCTCACCCATTAGGCAGCCACCCGGGTTTTATGTGGCAGGAGTCTATTCGACGATTCCACTACCTTGCCAAAACTGAAGCTTCTTGTTGAGCACTGGCGTACAGTGTAGCTCAAAGGCACAGTGCGTTGGCCTGATCAATCTGAACGCCGTCTCTCTGAACTCCCTGAACGATCAGTCCATGTATCATCTATAAGCCCCTTGGCGAGCCCTTGTTTTGTCTACTAATCACTCCGTGCTCTAGGAGGACTTACAGAAATTTGTCGTGGTCTTCTAAGAGCATAAAATTTTGACCTAGGAAGGATCGCTAAGAATACAACCATCCCTAAGAAAATCGGAAAAAGGGAGAAACATGCCTCTGGTCTTCCTCTTCCAAGTGCCAGGATTCCGCACTTCATTGCCGCCTTGGCCATGTGCTGTGCCGTATGGCACAGCGATCAGGCTGGAGAGCCTGGCATTTTCGCCTTTTTTTCGCACCCAATGCAGATGCACCCTCATGGCTGCCTAACGCTGACAACTTCCCTGTCATTCTGATGAGGGGGTCCCTTCGTCAGTATAAAAGCCCCTCCAAGCACTGAACAAGTCGGATTAGATTCAACAAAGATTCAAGACATTGCGATATATGGCTTTATTGAGAAACCTCAACGAAAATTCCATCAAGGAAACATAACCATGTCCAACTCTACTCGAACCAACCCTACCCAAACCTCCAACACCTCGCAAGGGAGCACCACCCAGCGAAGCACGGTTTCAAGCCAGACATCCGTCAGCCAGCCCGCGTATCAAGAAATCAGCCGCTGGAGCCCAAATACTTCAAGCATGGCGACCAGCACGTCCGGTAGCAACCCTTCCGAGCCTCAATCCGGCTCCCACCGCTCCGAGGCTGCCTCCATCGCCGATAGTGCCGCCACGACACGCGGGTCAACTACAAGTTCCGAACTGACCGCTGAACGTATTGAGGAGGACAGGGCGAGGGCAGCGTACAGGCTGGAGCATGGAGGGCCTCCTGCTCCCGCCGAAGATAGATTGGCCGAAAATTTCGCCTTTGCGATGAATTCAAATCCGGAAGCAGCTCAACAATTGGGCAGCTCTGGTAGTTTTGCGCAGGCTGCTAGGCTCCCCGACAAATAGAGGCCATGTAATTCATCATGAAGTATATCGAGGTTTTACGTTCAATATCACTATCTTTCACCGCTCATCTCTCTCTTAGAAAAAATTAAACATAGTATGCCTTTCCGCTCTTTTCGCTATTGAAAATATCAAAGACGTCTTGAAGGTATTGATTATACTTGTCCAATTTTGATTTCACAAAACAAGCCATTCCGGGCGTCCAAAAGGGGGATATTGCATCTATAAGAGTACCTCTCGACACCTTGTCAAACATGGAATGGAGGTGCTGCCTAGAGACGTTGAACAAGCCTTTTGGAGACTGTAGCGCCCACAAGTAAAAGAATCGAGCTTCATTTAGACTTGTCTTCATAGGCGCCGCCCGCAAGAGAGCCGTTCCATTTAATTGTAGCGGTGCGTTCACACGCATTTCCTCTTCCTCGAATACTTCCACGAACCGCTCATATTGAGTCTTGAACTTCTCATACTTGTCGCCAGTGAGAGTATCAATGGCCTCTTCTGTTAGCCAAAATGGAGGCAATAAAGTTTCTAGGGGTAGAGAGCATGCCCATTCAAGGTCAATAACATGCTTAATGTTCCAATCTTTATCGACCAGGATGTTGCTACAGTGCATATCTGTCAGCTGCATAACAAATGGCCCATCACGGAGCCGACGATCAGTGAACTTATGGAGCAGTGCCCTCATAAGCAGGATGTCTGCCGCTTGACCACGTGCATCATCGTCATTGAATGCAGCATTCGCCTGATGTTGAAGACGATTATCATGACCAGCAAGCAAATCCAGGTAGAAGCTATCAGCGCTTGTGTAGGTCATGTTGCGAGGAATATCAGTTGGAATATACCAGTTTTCCAATATGTTGAGATGACAGAACATGGGACGGTTGGTCAAACTGATTCGACCATCGTTATTGATGGTCCAAGACCCGATCCGAGGCTGCGGGACCTTAGCAAGGGAGATCATGATTTTTGACATGCTCCGGTAAAGGTTCTCGGTCTGTAGGTCTGTATGTGGTAGCTGGAATGTATTAGAGAGCATTTGCACATCATCATATTCGATCCAGTCAATGAGCATATAGCCATGCTCTAGGACTACATTTCTCTTCTGCAAAACAAAATTGCTCATGTCACTCTGGCGTTTTAAGAGGAGATTGACAAATCGTCTGATATAGAATTTGGCCCTGTCCCATAATGGAACAAAGCTGGGGTCACAAAACTACGCTCTCGCAAGATATTAGCAAAATCAAACACGAGGCTTAGATGGAAATGCCGAACTCACACTTAGTCCATTTGGCATCCCAAACCCCCGTAGCTTTGGGATTGGAATATCCGGACAGTTCTTCTCAATCCAAATGTATGTCGCAGTTTCGGACCGCAGTTTTTCTTCCGAATTTCCAGGGTACGCATCCTCGCCGACCCTATATGGCAGGGGGACCCTAAACGCCAGTTTGGAAGGCAGAGACGGTCCAGGGTTTTTGATGCGTAGAGGAATACACATGTTAAATGTTCCATGCAGCCATACAAGCGCATTGTTCTCAAATATTTCTGGCACCTGTACCTGGTCGGGGTTCAATCCGCAATGAAAAGCTACAAGCTGCCGGATCTGATCAAGTCTCTGTTCGAAGTAGGTATAAAACTTTGTCCTCTTCAACGCATATTGCAGCTCGGCCCTCATGTCTTCTTCCGCGTCGTGTGCCTCTGAGAGTGTAATGAATTGTTTGAGGAGGGCTTTTTTGAGCCTTGGCTTGGGATTCTTGTTTGTGCTGCCATTGCTAGGCGCGACCGGGGGTTTGGTCTCAGCATCACGGTTTATATCCTCGGTAGCGTTTTGCGTCTCGACTTTGGCGGAATCCATCGCGTTGATCTGATTGTATCGGGAGACGGAGACTTGGGTTGAACGAAGTGCATCAGGAGGTTAACGAGACTCAGGGTGACCAGCCAGCCCTGAAGGTGCCAAACGAACGTGGATTTTGTAGAACTAGAACAAACAAAGCAGCCAAAGGTAGATGCATCCGCCTATACTCCGTAGAAGATGGCCCTTACTGCGTCTCGCGCAGGAGCAACATGCTTGAAAGTGAGAGTCGAGAATTGTGAGGATGATCCCAACCCCAGAGCGATTCAGGGGCACCGGAACGGATCAAAATTCGGGTTCCTGGGCCTGGAGCCTTGTCTTTATTTTTAGCAACACAACTCGACGACATCGCCAGTTTACTTCATTATTGCTTTTCCCTGGAACAAAGTCCTGCTGTTGCTTGTATTTGAAAACTTTCCCCAAACCTTTGGATTCAAGCCTGTAGGAATAGTAAACATGCATTGAAGCTAGTGTAGCTATATACGGAGTACAAAACAATAGGAAATGCGTGAGTTGCTATCGTCCAAAGTGATGGGTATCCAACAAAACTCCAAAATGTAAGTTTCAATTCAAAAGACTATACCAATAGCTCGCCAAATAGATATATCCAAGACAAAAGTCCTAGGAAGGGGGAGCTTGCTTTGCCGCGTTCCTCCGTTTCGCATCCTCAAGCGCCTTCCGGAGGCGCTCCTGCTGGCCTTGCTCCTCCACCAATTCTGGAGCAGCAGAAGGGCCCGAAGGCGAAACCGGAGTTGCGGCCTGAATCGATTCCAGTGTGAGACTCCCAGCCGATTCTGTCCCAGGACCCGTCGCAGGTCCGTATTCTCCTCCACTTACATCGCCAATACTCGATACCGTGTCTGCTTTCTGCATTTGGCTCAGCACGTCGTTGACGGTTTTCAATATCTCCTGATGTCCGGTCCGCACATCGGACATTCTGGACATCAGATCATCTTCGATTTTCTGGTCTTCTTTCTTCTTTTCTTCCTCGAGACGGCGGAAAATATCAGGGCTAGCATTGGCGACTTTGGCTTCTGCAACAGAAACCTCGTAATCGGCGTTATTCAACAGCCGGTCCGCCATTCCAAAGCTGGAGAGAATGGACTCCGAATCGCTTCCGAGGAATTGGACAAATTCCAAAGCTGATTCAAGGATGCCTTGAGCTTCCTGTGGCAAGCTGTGCATATCATTAACCAGGCTAGGGTCGAGCTTTTCGACTTTAAGAGAAATATCGTCAAGGATACTTTGGTTTTCGCCAATTCCACGAATACTCGCCTCATCGAATACATCCATGAGTTGGTTTGCACGGTCATCCCGGGCCTTTGCGGCATCAAGAAGAATGCGCTTTTCGGCGGCGTCAAAATCCTTATCCATTTGCTTCAAGGCTGGTGAATCACCGAGGAACACAAAATAGCGGCGCTCTACCTTTTTCTTCCTTCTCTCTCGTTCCAGGACAGCTTGAACCCGTTTTTCGTGGCGCATTTCAATTTTTCGGAACATGTCGATGGCATCCTTCATCACATACGACAAGTGAAACCTTCCAAGTTTAGATTTAGATCCAGGTTCCGGTTCGGATTTAAGAAGGTCCAGAGCCTCTCTGTAATGGCTTTCAAGGCTTGCAATCTCAGCCCTAAGTCGTTCGTCCACCCGCGTAAACACGATTTCCACAAATTTATCGAACTCTTTCCTCTCCTCGTTGAGTTGCTTTTGGGCCTCAGTTTGTTTAAATTCTGTTTCCAAAACGGAGATATCAGAGTATCCAATCTCCTTGTCATTGAAAAGGTTGTCAATATGGCGTTCCGATTCCTCCTGACGTGCTCGGCGCTGACTATCAATTTGGACTTGTCTTGCGTTCGCTCCACGGTCCCATGCCTCTAGGCTCTTTTCTACGAAATTGAAATTATCAGGGAAATTTTCTAACTCAGCTCGAACAGAGGACAATCGTTTGTCCGCAGCCGGATTGGGTCGTGACGAGGGAACCAAGGTTCGAATATCTTCTAAAATTACTGTTGTAATCCCCTTCTTGAATGGATCCGCAGTGGGAGGTCTATTTGGTAAACTAGTTCCTGGTCGTTTCCCTCGATATGCAACGCTTTTTTCCCGAACCAAGCTCAAGAAAGTTTCATCGTGTTCTGCCCTGACTGGACGAGATACTCCCAATGTATCCGGGCTTCGACGCGGTTGCAAGGTTGGCTGTGCCATTGTCCGTCCACTTTCTGCTGATGCCTGCCTTAGAGCGGAGTAAGCTTGATATGCTGGGCGTTCAAAGGAAAGCGGCTGTGAACCTCTCTGTGGGCCTTCCTGGTACCGAAACGGGGTATATGCAGCGGGTGTTTCGGGATTGATCATGGGTGACCGCCCGGGAGGCACTGAGGTTGCCCTTGGTAACTCTGATTTTGGACGTTCAGTTACTATAGGAGAGCCAACATTGCTGCCAACATTGCTGCCAACATTCAAGGTGTCGGCTCGGGTTCGACTTTGTGCGGGAGGTGTGGGATTGGACGCTGAACGTTGGAGGCCTGTGTTGGCTTGTCTTTCCCCCGTTTTACGTCGTAACGAAGAGCCCAGCACGGGGCGACCACCCGGACTGTAAGTGATAACGTCGTCTTCAAGGTCTATTGGTATTGGTAAATCGGTGTCAAGCCGTTCTAGGTCAGGCTTGCTACGCTCTTTAGGCGATTCGGCAGGTTTTGTACCTTCAGAGCCATCTGTCGGCTTAATTTTAACAATTTCCGGAATAACTTCCACGTTATAGAGGATTTCCCGTAATTTTAACTCTTTGGTCACAAACGCAGTAAAAAGTTTAAACTTTTCGCTTTCCGATTCAGTCGCCATTTCCTTTCGTAACATGGTGACATATCGCGTCAACGATGATTTATACCAGGGGTCAAGGTCAGCATAGGGATCGGCGATAGTCGTGACCGATTGGGTCAAAGGCTGCTCAACTTTGGATTGCACTGGCGAAGTGCTTTTTGGGGACGCTTGAATCAACGAAGGTTGCAGCTGGGGTATAGGGGTTGCTACACGATCGGCAGCAGGCTCGGAAATGGCTGGAGCAGGAGGTTCCTGTTTCGGCGGTTGTTCCGTTTCAGCAGGCGGCGTATTTTCAGTTATTATGGGCTGTGACCATTGCTTTATGACATTGTCGATTTGCCCTGTGCTATCTTCTGCTGACACGACACTCGAAAAGGAGTCTACGCTATTCATGCGGTCCTCGTGCTGAAGTTGGGAAGGGGCCGGAGGTTGAGTCCTAAAGTCGACAGACGAAATGGGCGAGACACGATCTGATTGTGATTGATTCTGCTCTATAGGTGTAGATAACACTGGGGGCTGTAAGGCTGGCTTCGGTGTCTCCGGCCGAGTAGTGATTGGAGGAATGTCGGAGGCAAGCTCAAATGTACCCGCTTCATGAGGTGGCTTTTGTGATTTGAAATTGAATGTTTCTGTGTCGTCCACTTCCTCTTGGCCAGAAGAAAAATGTTCCCAATCAGAAGGTCCCCCTAAGCCCAACGCGGAAGCACCTGCTGCTGAAGTTGGAGGTTGTGTTGTCACCGGTAATGTCGGCGCGAGGACAGGTGGTGACATGTAATCTGGGGCAGCGGTCACGATTGGGTCAGGAGCAGACGAAATTGGTGGTGGGAGGGACGACTCATTCGGCGGAAAGGTAGAAGGCTCCTCAGCAACATTGTGTTGAGGGGGCGCGCCGCCGAAAATGTCCGAGTCCTTGGAATCTGCATGTCCCGTTTGAGTCACGGAAAGTTGAGGTTGTGATAGGGGAAGAGGCGCCGCGGGAGGAGGCGGAGGCGGCACTGGTGACTGCTGCTGCTGCTGTTGGTGGTGCTGGGGCGGGTCATAGTGATGCGTTGACGGGTGGGCTGAGTAGATCGGTGCATTTGGCCAATTCTGGGCTTGTTGCTGCTGTTGGTGTTGCTGCTGCTGCACTTCTGCTTGATATGCAGGCGGTATTGGCGGGGGTTTGGGGGGGATTGACTGGTTGATGCCAGAATTAGGATCCGCATATGGGTGAGGCTGCCAATATTGCGGCGCTTGCGGCTGCGGTTGCTGTTGCTGTTGCTGTTCAGGGAAATGCGTAGGTAAGTTTGGAGGATAATAAGATTGCTGAGGCTGCGCTGGGTTCCACATCGGCTGCTGTCCTAGATGCGATTGGAACTGTGGTTGACCAAGTCCGCTTTCTGGACGAGGCTAGGTAAATATCAGCACTGGGTAATCAAGAAGGGATCGCATGCAACCGACTGGTAAAGGTGGCGGAAGCAGCGGCTGGCTACTTTGCACCAAACTGGGTTGGTGATGATGGCCATGCTGTTGATTGAATCGCACCCCCCAACTCGACGTATCTATGTTCGGCGATGGTATATGAGGAGGCGCTTGAGATTGCTGAACGTGGTCAGGTGCGGGAGAAGCCGTGGAACCAGGCATAGGCCCGTACATATTCGGGTTATACAAGGACGCCGTCGGTTGGGGCGTTGCGGAAGGAGGCTGGGTGGGCGGCGGGGGAGACGCCTGTGATACTCTCCATGGCGGCGCATGTTCTGCCGGCGTGCTCTGCTGCCATTCAGGATATGAAGCAGGCGGCCCGGTTTGATAGTAGGATTGAGGAGGGGGTTGACTGCCGTACATTTTCAAAAGGAGAGAGCTGGATCGTTCAACTAGTGAAAGAGTCAGCAAAGCGTTCAAACGGAGCTCAACTGGGGCAGACGCACAGCAATCTTCTTTGGGCTTTGACGAGGAGAGCAGCTCACCTCATCGTCCTTCCTTGAGGCGGATCTGTAGCTCAGCTTATCATTGTGATGAGCTTCCAGTGATCAGGTCGAGGAGGCGGCCCGGAGTATTAACTAGTTCGTTAACTAGTCAACTATTCTTAGCTCGTCCGTGAGCTCGTATTTTTGTCGCAGCCCAACTGACCTTGTCAACTCATGCGTTGCTCAGCGCAAGCATCAGCGGGACAGGGGGCGCGGAATGCAGCCAAGATGGGCCACGAGGATGCCACAGGCTCAGTTGTCATTCGATTCTCACTGGCGCCGCATCTGCGCTCCTCCTGCATCTCATTTCTGAACCTGGAATTGGGGCTATGCTGCGTCCGCAGTGAGTGGAATCCGCTCTAATTAGTTACGGTAAATGAGATTTGCTGCTGTGCCCTCGTCTCTTTCGACGTCGATAATTATTCAACTAACAGCTTGCTCTATCTCTCTACAGGGCCAATTAACATACGATTGTAGGTCAATCCACGCCGGATACGACAGTCCATCCAAGTTCCCCAGGCACTTGACGCTTTACAATGAACTCAGCTTCAGGGATACAGATCGCTTTCGTCGATAGACGAACTGCATATGTTGCTAAAACCCTTGGGCTCCGTCACATTGCTCTCTATCGCCAGAACAGCGCTCGCGGGGCCCTGGTTTGGAAGGACTGGAGCAAGCATAAATAACTAGCGGACTGCTATCGAAGATCTCATAAAATATCTACATGGTTTCCTATTTATTTGCCGCAGCAACAGTGACGGTTTGTAATCTTTACAGCTGTGCTAGTCCCTTTTCCAGGACTACTTTTTAGCCCTGGTACTCAGGAGGGTTGCTCACGGATGCTTTCTCACTAATAACACTTTGCCCATGTACGAGAGTAAGGGCAATAAAGGAGCTTACTATTCAAAGCCCCAACAGAATCGAAGGCGGGGAATCTCCTTGTGCCCCAGAATGATATCTTAAAAGGCCCCCAAAACGGCCCCCCCCCGCTTTGAGCGAAAGAAAAGGAGAAGGGGAGGCCCACGTTGGCTTCCTAATGTCCCCGACCCCCCCTGTAGTTTTCGGCCCTAGGAAAAAATCTCCTAGGGAAAAAAAAACTCCTCGGGCAAAGGGGCCACCCCTCTCCTTTTCTTTTTAAAACTACCGGTTACTTTGTTGGTGGGGGGGGGGGGGGGGGGCAGCATTTTTACCCCCATCCGTTCAATACTGAATAAAGCGACAATACTCCGTTGTCATGGCATTGTCTGCATTTTGATAATGTACCCTTTTCGGTCTCACTATGAAATGCGAGGGCTTCAAAGACCACTTCAAAGGTTGCCTACTCATTGAATATTGATCATAGGTCATGACGAGGCTTATTTGTCTCTATGGCTTTATATTGACCTCATGTGTCTCTTGCTTGCAGATACCCTTCAATTCCTCTCCGCTTTACTCAGTCACTATAGAAGGACGAATTATCTTTCTACAGACTACACCATTCCATTCTTCCTTCTCCTTCCTAATCATCTTGATCTTAGCTTTTGGCTAGATATCATTACTACTCTCTTTATGCTTAGGCAGCTATCGAAACTGATTCTATCCCCACTTACTTTATTAGAAGTCTCTTTTCACGTTAAATAGACCGTGATTCTGAGCATAAGTCCTAGTCGAAACTATCAGCAGCATGCCTGCGCAGGACCTTGCTCCACCTCCTCCAGCTTTTCCTGAGCGCCCAGATTTATTCAACGAGGTGGAATGGGGCCCATTCCCAACGGACCAGCATATAAGACTGGCATATAAGCTGTGGTATCTGCAAGATGGTCGCGTTAAGACTGAGAGGCTATGGCGAGCTTCTGATCCCCCGTTGGGACCAGAGGATGACCATCCCGATACTTGCCTTGCTCGGAACGTGTACGAAAGTTTAATGCAAAGTTATACGTTACCTCCCAATCGGCAGCAACAAGACATTTATGCTCAATACAGGGAGCGGGAATATTGTGTATCAGGTGCCAGCGACCAGGAACTTGGAAGTGAGAGAGCGCAAGGATGGTCTTACCTGGAAATATTTGGTTCTCCGGACCGCACCAATATCGATGAGCCGCCAACCAAAATAGAGGTTTCCGGGCTGGACATCAATAGCTCTCGCTGGAGGAAAGCCGATCTGCAACACCAACTTCGAATTAGACGCCTGGACACCAATGGCACGGTTGCGGAGTTGAAAGAACGCCTCTACAACTATGAACGTAAGGATATGATGCTGCGGGCTATGGATATTGATATGGGAAGCCTACTACCTCGACAAGATTTACCAGAATGGGGCCTTCCTCGTCAAGATGATTTTATGCTGAAAATATCAACCCAGGCCACATTTTCTCCAGTTGAAATGTATACATGGGCGATTTTGCTCAGCCCATATAACCCCGCATACTGGACCAGCAGAGCTTACCTCCACTATCAGATGGGTTATTTTGACCTCGCTCTCGGGGATGCTTACCGCGCGCAGTTACTATGCGATGTTCTGGTCAATCCATTGGTCCGGAATTCACAACCTGGGCTCTACGCTCGTACCTGGGACGCCATTGAACGCCATATCCTCCAAATCAGGCGAGAGACAGAAGAGATCGCGTCAGAAATATGGAGACTTCGGGATGTAAATGGCGTCAATTCATTTATACCCCATGTTCGGAAAACGCTCCATCATATCATTTGCCTCAGCTTGCTTGCCCTGCAGTGCTGGGAGGATTATCATAATTTCGAGAATGAATTAGCCAAGCGACTTACAATGCAAGACCGTGATAACTGGGCGATTGATAGACGACACAAGTTGGTGGAAAATTTCGTGAGCGATGTCTTGAAAGAGAAGCGGGCAGACCCAAGGGAGTTCCTATATGAAAGCCATTATGGCCATGCTCGCGGGGCCGTTTACCCGTACTGCACCGTGACGGACCGTACAACGAAGAAGGTGCTGGGGAGAATCAATGAAGAAATTATAGGGAGGTCACAGGCAGCCCAGCTTGGCCCTGTGAAAATTGAAGTTAGGAAGAAGGACGACGACCAATTAGGTATATTCGCTACCGAAGATATTCTAGCCGGTGAAACTGTCTACGCTGATGAGCCTTCCATCAGGGGCCATCTCCACGATTTCCATGGCCCAAAGGAATACCGGTGCGAAAATTGCAATCGAAAGATTGATCCAATCTACAACAGCGATAAAGCACGAAGCTTTATCAAGGAGAATCTAGCCAAAGTACGAGCTGTTGGGGTCGCGTGCGAGTGCTCATTGGTGGAATCTGAGCGTCTATATTGGTGTCCTCCTCCAGAGCAAGGCGAAGAAAGCAGTGAAGGCAGTGGTACCTCGTCAACATCCTCCCAAATAACACCGAGCACTCAGCCACGCACCCGGAAACGATCTGTCGAAGCGGACGAGGAGGATGAGAGTGAAGAGCAGCAGGCAAAGAAACCAAAAAGAACCCTTCATGTTTGGAGATAGCGCTTACCCAATACCACTATCGGGCATGCGGGCGTAATTGGAAGTGGTTGCACGATGCAATGAAGCCTGTGGTGTGGGCCCCCGCGGCCTATAGAAGAGATAGCACCAGGTGTGCACTATACCAATGAAAAGCACGGGACCATTTTGAGTCTGATGCTTCGAGAAGTCTTCGACATTACCCTCCAGAGGCGACATACGGATGGGAAGCCGAATCTCCTCGCTTATGAGATTGACGAGTTGTTTCCACTTATGGGAGCAGACAAGCAATGTGAAAAGCACTTATTCCCATTCTCCTACGCAGCAAATATCAGGGTCCCTTTTGATATTCTACAGTGTCTCGGAGTGGATATCTTCCGAGATTTGACCTTTGACACTTGGGTCATTCAGCTAGTGCTCCGGAAACTGCTTATCAACGCAGTTCCGTGGGACCTAGAACGCCGCGCACAGGATACGGTTGACACACCGGAGAGCAAGGAGCTTCGTCGAAGCGGACTGCGTGGGCTACCGAGGGACAAATACTCCGAGGCCAATCCAACCATCAGAAATTTGTATATCTTTCCCGGAGTGTCATTGTTCAACAGCACTTGTCCAGATCAGCACAATGTGAACTGGGACTGGGACCTCTCAGTTCCAAACCGCATGACGCTCTGGGCGTCAAGGGATATTGAAAAAGACGAGGAGCTCTTTATTCCATATGTTCCAATGAAGATTGAGGAGGACTTCGCACAACGAATGTTTGGTGTTAATTGTCAATGTAGAAGATGTTACTATCGCCCAACGCTACGTGAGTTCCATCGGAGTCTGAGGCCATACGGTGATTCTAGCAGCGAAGAAACCGAAGACGCCCCCGACCAGGATTCAAAGGGTGACGATCAGGACAACACAACCGACGGGAATGGTGATGGAAGCAAAAAAGACTCGTTGTTCGGGAGGGAAGAAACGTCTTCAGAACCGTTCCCTACCCAGCGAGCTATGACACCAAAACCAGAGGATGAAGGGGAATACGATGAGGCTGACTTCCAATCATCAGAAGTCGAAGTCAAAGAGCATTCAGGCGAACCCTTCACTGAGTCACGCGTAGCCTATCACGCGGATGAACTAAGAACAGCTCTGAAGGAAGCAGTAGATAAGCTCCCAAGAAGTAGAAGAGCAACTACCAAACCAAGCTGATAATAGGAAGGGAGCATTTGAACAGGGGCTATGTCTGGGGAAATATACCCGAAGAATCGGGCAGTGGTAAATCTATCTATTTTTATTTAAATGTTTTCACGCTAGGACATCTGTAATATCAGTTCATGGAAGTTCCATATTTGTTCAGTGTGGTAGCCAATATTCCTGATGGCCTCCTCGTATCCTCGTCAGCAAGCGATTTACTTTGAGCTGTACGGAGAATCGGGCGCCGACTCCATGAAATATAGTTAGCAGCACTTCCTTGAAGATCCAAGCACTAAGACCCCAGAGTGGGAGGTAATTAATTCTCAAAAATGGGCATAAGAATAATATCAACATGGCGCTCGGCCAGTCCATAAACTGTCGATATTGGGCTGGGATGATGATGCATGGAAAAACGAGTAAAATTTGTAAAGAGTCAAAATGTGAGACTTGCAGTTTGTGAAAAACGATAAGGGAGAGCAAGATGGAGTTAGTGACTTTAGTGATATTATTTCCTGAAAACAGTAAGTAGAATCTCAAAGCTTTGGGGCTTGGATGTTTTCCGAAGCAACAGCCTTCTCATATTGAAGACTCTGGCGACATAATCATGTTGCTATTGTTTCGTTCTGCATGGCGAAGGTATAACGAGCTCTTTTACCAATTAATTTATCCTTGTAGGGTTGTCGATAACAGTGGGAGGTTAAAGGGGTGCAAGAATATTCTTTTTGCAGGCCCAGCCGGAAGAACAAGCGTTGGATTTGATCAAGGTCCGACAACAATCCCCTGCGACTCCGACAATAGTCAGTCTGAATGATATCTTGCAGTTAATGCAACCATTTCACAGGGAACCTTACATTCCTCAAGGTGGTATTCCCACGACTCTGGCTAACTGTTAGCTGTTAGGTCCGAGCAGCAATTTACCCCAAACGAACACCACTCTGCTAGCCAAGTAAGATTAAACCGACAATGCAACGGGCACCGCGGATCAAGCCATATCATGAGGCATCCTTTCCACCATGGGCACGAGAGCTTCCTGTATACCAGCAGTACTCCGTAAAGCCTTGGAAATGAAGATGGGAAGTTGACGCTGGTCCTAAAGGGGAAGACCCCTGAATAGCTTAACTAATTAGTAAGCTGACTGGATGTGGGTGTTTGCACTGTTTGCTTTGGATGGGATTCAAGAGTCTTCATGGATATCAAATGGTCCAAGGCAAACATTTTATGGTCTCTTGACTGGTAAACGCGCAACACTAGGCAGGATTATGGTCGAGAATTATTCCCCAGGCGCAATAGGTCTTCGACCTAGAAAAGCGAACCCCAAGGGGATTCTGTTGTAGCCAATATACTCGGGTAAAGTCCATGTTCTCGCTGAGATCGCCGTAAATGGATTCCACAGCAATGTATCGGTGTCAACTGTGTGAGGACTGTGCGTTGGCCGTTCCAAATGTGCTGTTTGGTGTCCGTGCATGAGGCCAAAGCAGGTCGACGCAAGGGCGCACAATTCGGCGGCAGAGCCGCATTTCCTCCCGCCAATGACGAATTGAGATCAAAGGGGAGAAGGCAGACAGAATCGGCCGCTGGAATATGGCGACAGAGATTCATTCGCTTCCCCGGAGTGGCGAAAAAGAACCGGTGAAACAGGCGCGAGATCACGGACTGGACCCTTCGACACCAAGCGCGAAGCCATCGCAGAGGCCGATGACGACCCGTCTCCTGTCCCAGCCGTGAACATCAACGGATACTCCGACTCAGGGATGGCCAGCCCGGGCCTATGAGGTTGCTGGAGCTGCATATTTCGAGAATGCACGACAACCCAGGGAGACGATCACCCGGCGTCCAGTCAGTCAGGTGATTTGGATCGGACGTCGACGAAGAGAGAGTCATTTTTAGAATGGCGGCACGGGCCATAGAAGCGTGGGCATCAATGGAAAAGAGTTCGCGGAGAAGCGGTGGTGATCGCGGCCTCAAGTCGCCGTTGCGGCACAGTCTTCAGACACTGCCTCGCTTTGCGTTCTGATTGCGCAGCCAACCTCATCTCGTCTTCTCCAATCGGATCGCCACAACCGCCCTTCGCGAGGTGCTCGAACCTGGAATCACTTGACGCAGCGGGAGCCCCAAGGCACCAGCGGAGGGTCTTTCGATCAAGACGTAGCCGATGGGCTCCTCCACTTACCGCCCTGGCATCGCGCTTCACCGACGTGCCGCTAGCGAGGCAGCCTAGATGTGACCGCCCCGTTTAACTGCGCTGTGCCGCAGAAGAAAACGGCCCAAGAGGGTAAAAGAACTGGCATTGCTTTGCAGATTGTGACCACATACGAGCAAATCAAGGAATGCCCAAGCTCCCCATCCACCGGCCGGAGTTTTGTCAATTCCAAACGTGGGCAGGGGTGTCTGCAGGCAACCAAATGTCCCAACTCTACACGGATTTAGCCTCTTCTCTCTTGCTCACTTGTTGCTGCTCCAGATAACAATTATCCTGGATCACTTTATCTATGCCAAAACTGTGGGGTGACCGGAATACCTCCGGTGTTGGGTATGTTTTGGGGCTCAATGCTTGCATGTCCGTTGCCCGGTATATCACTGTCATCTAGATCGATCCATGATCTCAACGACTGCATGCTTTAGTGATCGGTGGGGGTCTTTGCTTTTTCCTCTCCGTCCTATATCTTGTCGGACATGCATTTGACTCAATCCAATTAGTACCTGCGTTCTACTCAGATCCGCCGCATTCCCCTGTTCCTTCCAGCATCGGGGCCGTGCCACAGAAGGCCCCTCGACCGTACCCTTATGCCTTAGCATGTGAGAAAATTTGCTTGCCTTTGACGGCTATATGGTCTTGATTTGCTTTTGATCCCTGGCGCCGTTGAGAAAACCTCCCTATCCCGCGGATTGCTATGCATCTGGGTTCCTCCACGGCCCCCTCCGTCCAAGATATGACGTTACCCTGCCTATCGTATTCCCCTTTTATCTATCGGGGAGTAGCCTGGCGTTTCTCTATGGGCTACGCGGCGCTAGGCAAACTTTTACTGTCCACTGAGAAGTGGCCGTTCGTCTGTCGACATCTCTGTGAAATCATTCACTTCCTTGCACAGCGGCTCTTCTGCCATAACATTCGCTGGACGTTCGACTTCCTACGCCTCTCCATTGAATCCGATATATGGAGCTCAGTGACATTGCCAGGAGTGACTCATATAGAGGAAAAGATACAAAAAGGAGGAGGACGACTCCGTTTTTCAACTTCAATCGACTGCAATCTTTTCCATTTCCAGTGTCAAAGCAGAAACAATAATATACTATACCGCTTTTCATTTCGTGCGAATTATTCGAAGTCCCATGTCTGCTCCAACGAGAGAGCTTGGAAAGCTATCGATCGGAAATATGCCGACTACTCGAGCAGAATCGCAAAGAAGAGGGCCAAATGCTCCATACGAGGCTGAGGGTCAGTCTGATACGGAGTCCGAGGAGGAGACATCAAGTAGCGACGATGAGGTCTCCGGCCCTTCTTCCAATGCGACGATCGTGCGGGGAACGACGAGCATTCCCTACAATTTGAGTCGACTTTCCCAAACGGCAAGGTCTCGAGCTATACATGGTCTCAGAGGTGAATTTGCTGTTGATCGATGTCGTGCAACAAGAGGGGGATTCGATTTCGATGTGGCTGATCATGGCCGTGTCCGGCTCATTGAAGGCTCTATGGCCTGCTCTTGCAAAGACTTTGGGCAGACGAATCTTGCATGTCGCCATATCTATGTTAGTTTTGTTACACCGGAGTTGTCGTGTTAAGACACTAATATTGGAATTATCTAGTGGCTTGTTGACCAACTACACCGAGGTTTTTATCCAGGCGTTCCTCCCCAGGCAGTACACATGTCAGATACTGGCGAGACGCAGTTCTTCGGTCGCATAGCTGAGGGCCTGGGAGAAAAAATAGAAGAAATTGCTAAGAAACGAAACTGGCCTTATCTCCCCGGTGCTACCTCTCCCGCAGACTCGAGCAGTGGGGACTCAGACACCATGAGCCGCCCTCAGAAAGCGCGGGACATTCTCTCTGCCTTTAGCAAGACAACAATGCCCGACGACTTTCGCCCAGATTTGGTTGAGACCATTAATCAGCCTCGAACCCCTGAACAATGCGTTGTTCAGGGCGATTTTGAGGCCACCATGTTTCGTCTCGCCGTCCATGATGAGAATGTGTACTCCGGCCTCCGCAAAGTCATGCCTTCAGGAGCGCGGGCAGATATATTTTTCGAAAAAGCTCAAGCCAAGATTCGCTTTCTATTTGCCGAATTTGATCGATATCGCGAAACCGGTGCCGTTCGTCGTGATCGTAGCACTTTGGAAATCTCTGTGCTGGTTGAAGAACTCCATGAGAGTCTTGAACAGATCCAGCATAATATTCTTGCTCGCTCTCCACACGGCTCAATTGGCGCTGCTGAAACGCTTATCTATCTATTGCGCGAAGTCTCTACCCGAAACTATGACGCATATGAAGACAGTGACTGGGCACGTCCGGTTCCGGCTGGGGAAACAGAGGCAGACCGGAATGTTTACCTACAGCTCATAGATCAAACCGGCCACGCGGACTCATTCTTTGTCCTTGACTGCCTGGAAACTTTGCCTGAGTCTATCGTACGCCAGTGGGCCCCTCAGCTGGATGCAATTTTCAACGTGATCCATGCCAACGGCGCCTCGGTTCCATACCTACGCAAGCTCCAGGCCGTGAAATCTGGGGATCGCCAGGGCGCTGCGGCATCTGGCCAGAAGAGACCAGCTGTGGGAGCAGTTGGGGCTGGCAGGAAGAGAGCAAAATAATCGAAAAGCCCCTCGAAGCACAATCCAAGGAGCTGGCCACTGCTTGGAAAACGACGAGGAGTAAGAAAAGTAAGAAGTCGACAATGTGGCGACAAAGCATTCCCCTAATGAGCCAATGGTGTACGATGTCAACGGACGGTTTTGTCTAGTGACTACATCTCAGTTTTCAAGCCAAAGCACACAAAAAAAGCAGCCAAAATCTAATCACCTCCGGACCCTGAAGCAGGCTTTGCGGTCTGGATGATGCTCATCATATTTGACTTGAAGCTAATTATAATACCTCCTAAATTTCGATCTTTTCTCTTTGCCCCTTTTTGCAATCAGGATACGTTTAACGCTCGAAAGGCCATTAGACATGCTTGCTCTATTATTGTGGCTCTACTACTGTTTTGTCTTACATTTTTCCTTTCTACTTTGTTGTTCTCTGAATCTTCTCTTCGTTCTCCTAGATTTATACAAGAATTACTGGTTCGAGCAAGCTGGTCTTGTTTGCGTTTACAGCGTTCGCCATCTTCTTGAAGATGATAATATAAAATGGGCTTTAATTTCTTGCTAATTCATTTACTTCATCACCGGTTACTCAACGTGAAACTCGTCAAAGCAGGGGGCCTTCTGAACCGCCAACCGGCACCTGAGGGATAAAAAAAGGAAAATCACGATAGATCCAAAACCACTCTCCCTTGCAAGTGTCCCTTCTCCATTTCCTCAAACACCTCCGTCAATTTGTCCATCTTCTCAACTCTAAAATGGGTCTGAATAATCCCTCTAGCCGCAAATTCCAGCGTCTCGATCGCCTCCTGCCGTGTTCCAACAGCAGAACCTACGATCGAAAGCTGTTTGCCGATCATCGTCGCGGGAAATGAAGTTGCAATGGGCAAGGGGTTGTGTTCTGGAATACCAACACAAACGAGCACGCCATTGACGCGGAGTAATTTGAGAGCTTGGGCGTAGGCGACATTGGACGCCGTGCACACGATGGCCGCATGCGCACCACCCATTCCTGTGAGCGAAATGACCTTTTCGCTGATAGCTTTGCCATCGTCGTCAGAGGGGAACTCAGTAACATCGACAAAATGCTCGGCTCCAGAATTTAGAACCAGATCCTTCTTGCTACCGTGATCAATACCAATGACCCGAAAGCCTAGACCGCGGGCAGCAAGCTGGATTGCGATGTGGCCAAGGCCACCCCCGGCGCCAGAGATGACAACCCAGTTACCAGGGCGTGCACGGCTCCTTTTGAGGGCGGAGTAAACGGTCACGCCAGCGCAAAGCATCGGCGCAGCGGCGTCTGAAGGAAGAGAGTCGGGAATGGGGGTTACGTAGTTCGCTGGTCCAAGGACGTATTGTTGGAAAGTGCCAGGGGTGAAATACCCTGAGACCTTGCTTTTGATACAGCAGGCGTCTGCGCTTTCATAGCAAGGCACTGTTTATGATCAATATTTAGCATTAACTGAAGCAGAGGTCAGCGGGGGCGACACTCACAGCATGTTCCGCACACAGAAGAAATCCACTTGATACCAACACGATCACCTATCTTAATCCCTACGCTCTCTGCACCTGGCCCGAGTTTAACCACCTTTCCTACGCCTTCATGTCCGCCCACCTGGCCTGCGGGTGTAGGATATGGAAGGTTTTTCCACTGCAATCAAACGTGAGTTGACGCGCAACAGAGCACGGGATATAGTGAAATGCACTAACTGAGTTTGTCATGATTCCAAAATCTGAATGGCAGACACCAGAGTGAGTTCTGAAATATGGTCAGATTTTCAATTGAGTATATCCCAGGAGTATGACGGGCGACAGCATACAAATTGATCAGAACCTCTCCCGGACCTGGCTCCGGGACATCAACGATCGCGACTTTCGTCGAAACAGTACCAGGATTGTCATAGACGACGGCCTTGGCCTGCTTTGGAATTTCGACTGACTCCATGATGGAAGTAATGGTTTCCAGCTAGATATCCGAGATCAGGCCTGAGATTGTATTTGCGGTTCAAAACAGGAGATGATGAAGAGGGATGCCTGTCAATAGATTGGAATTGACAGCATGAAGGTGTTTTGTATGTTGAACTATTGAGTCAAGCCCCTTGAACTAGCCGGCTGAAAGGAGCATATCAACCAACCTGCAAGGAGGGATGAGCAGAGTCCAGAACGTTTGAGCCCCTCAAGCTGATACCAGCGGTTCGGTGCCGAGGAGCGAGGTTCTTGACGCAGGCCATTGCATGTCAGGCGTCACTCTGATAGAGACAATCACCAACTCGTGTAGCTGCTCGACCGACCCCCGCCTTTCTGAGGGGTTTGTTGGATGACATTTCCAAACCGTCCACTATGTTTCGCGCTGTGCGAGCTAAATGCGGGGAAAACGGGCCAACAAGCGCGCCCAAGAGTCCTTCATCCACAATTTGGAGGGCGTTGGTCGGGTTCGCCAGGCTTCCATCATGGTAGTTGTGGATCGCGATGAGAGCCTCGGTAGTTAACTGGGTATGAACATTGGCACCGGTTGAGGATGGGGCGAGTTCAAATACGGGTCCGCCATGATAACAACGCAATCCACCGGCCTTGTGTGTTTTCACAGCGTCTTTGCTCTATCGTCGTCGTCGTCGCGAGAAGGTTGAGGTGCATCGGTCACATGATGGCGAAGCGGGCACAAAAACGACGGTCAACGCCAGAAACCACCACACAACAGCCAGCAAGAGCAGACACGGCAGATTGCAACACGGAGATGATGGCTCATCGGCGTCGACTGCAATTTCAGCGCTTGGACAACAACGTGCCGTTTTCAACTATTTCTCGCGCTCGCTTGGAACCACCCTCTCTCGCTTCCGGTGCCACGGGTATGGAGTCATCGCTTGAGGCTGACCGTCTATGCCACGGGTGAAGCTAGCGGCTTCGCGTTCAATACTGCATGCGGGTGCTGTATCTCACGCTGCAGGTCCCCGGAGAAATCGTGTTCGGAATACGATGCGGGAAGGGTTCGAAATGGCTTGGGAGACATGGGTTACCTTTGAGCTGGAAATCGCCTGTCGCGTGGAGGAGTTAGTGGGAAGGGAGTCAGATCGGAAACGTGAACGCCATATGCAATATTGACTTTGACATCCGCACTCGAAGAACCGCGAGACATGGTGATAGGCTCAATGAACCAGGTCTCCCCAGCCGCCCGCTTCACAGCTCTCCAAGGGAGGCCGATATCACGCCCACGAGGAAGGACCTTGGGGTTTCCCCAGCCGGATTGGATTTAATCCGATCCCGTCGTTCGCACTGATTCGATAGAGGCTTCCTGTTTGCTCCAGGCGCTTCAGTTTGATGGCAGGACAGGCGAATGCAAGAATAGCGATTCGCGATATTAGCCGGATATGAGAGAGTGCGGCATAAAAAGGTGAAGATGACCCCTTATACTAGCCCGCTGGGTTGAGGAAACTTGGCTTCACTGTCTGTGTAGAAAACAGGCTAGCTGAGAACCGGGGTAGATGAAGGGGATCCATGGGTAGAGATTTACTCACCTGGCCACTCCTCGCAGCGAGTTGTTTTCATTCGATCTATGGAAGGCGGGCTGGCCCGTTTTCTACTATGGCGCCTCTGTTGCGGCACAACTGCGTATATCCAAAGTCAACGATGGGCTGTGCTGCCACCGGTAAATTAAATCTGCTCAAGCAGTTTCGAATGATGACAAGAACGATCTGCGCCGGAATCGCCATCGGACCCTGATCCGAGAGCTTTCATCCTGGATTTCTCGCTAATAATGTGTTCATGGACAAGGTCGTGAGGAACACTTGAAAAACCCCCTACCGAGTATTATCTGTAGAAACCGCCCAAGGCCTCGAGACGGCTGTTGTGCTTGGTGGTGGAATGGGGTATGCAAACAGCTTGTAAACTTCACTCCTTTCCGCCCCCTTGCCGGCGAGCTTTGGTGCCGTCAATGGGCCGCGTTGCAAAGAGCCACTCAAGTGCGCTTCAATTTCACACCTTCCGCTCGTAGACCGGCTTCTGACACCCCTGTTCGGCGTTGAGATTGCAAACTGCCCGCAAGCATCCGTCTCAATCCAAATGTGCCCTCGCGCACGTTGACGGGCCGACGAGAACAAGCAGCTGCTCACCCTGTCTTGAACTACACGTGACGGTCAATTAGATTGAACGCGATCCTACCATACCCCATGTTGTTGTGGTCGCCAACTTTCTAGAAAACGGCTGGGTGATCCCGACCCCCGATCGGCTAGGGAGGCCTGTTAACCTGATGCTGATCCCCTTAGGCAATTTCCGTGTTCCTTCCGAGTCACGGTTATTATTGCGCTGTGTCTTCCCGAGACCTGGAGTGAAAATGGTCCACTCGGAGCATTTTGGGTTGTTTGGGTTTCATTCACTGCAGGGTGCAACACGCTGATAGATGTGCCATCGACCTCGGGATCCGATAGTTAGTGAGCGCCATGTGAAAGGAATCAGTTTCGAACCCACTCCTTTATGGCATTTTGCACCTCTCGGGCCGGGCAATTTGAACATCTGCTCATCCCGGTGAACAGATAAGCTTCTTGACCGGGGTGGAGATGTTCCTTCACAGTGCCGATCGCCATAGTGTCTCCTGGCTCTGCCCGGCGCAACCCTTTTGAGATGAAAGGCACGCACTGAACCGATCGGTTCTGCATGCTCCTGATTGCATCCGAACGGCATCCATACCCCGGGGCAAGTCCTTGGACATCTTAATGGCATATTCCATTGGTCCGTTACCCCACGACGGCGATGTGACGCTGCAAAGTGTTGTCCGGGCACCAGAAGGCGTAGATTGCCATTGAAGCAATCCTCTACCCAAGTGCTTGTCTGGTTGAGCCCGGTTCAAGCCGTTTCATTCCCAGGCGGGAAGAGATATAAAAGGAAGGGCTCCCAAACGCTTTAGGTCTCCTTCTGCTCTGCGTCCTCGACCTCGCCCGCACCCGTGTTTCATCTTGCCTTCCTACAGTCTTCACCATGCGTCTCTCCGTTTCTCTCTTGGCTTTGGCCTTTGGCTCCCTGGTTGCGGCCGCGCCCAACACAAAGCCACGAACCTGCGGTTCCAAACCATCAATGGAGTTCCTTGCTAAATCTGCTGAGTTTGCTGCAAAGGAAGCAAGCGGAGAACTGCTCAACTCTTTGGCCACCATCGAAGTTGAGACCTACTTCCACGTTGTTGCCTCAGGCCGGACCCCTTCCCAAGGCTATCTCTCTGTGAGAACATTAATCCCATCAACCCGATTCTGAATTGTCGCGTATAACAGTTACTAACAAACTGGACAAGGATGCTATGCTTGCCAATCAACTCAGAGTCATGAACTCGGACTATGGACCGCACGGCATCCAATTCAACCTGGTCCGCACGACCAGAACTGTCAATGCCAACTGGGCACGTGATGGAGATGAGCTTGGAATGAAACGCGCTCTTCGTCAAGGCGGCTATAACGCTCTCAATGTTTACTTCTTGGGAGACCTTGGCAGTCTTTTGGGAGTATGGTTCTACGCCCTTCCGCGCAAAGAACACGACTAATCAGCATCCCCTTAGTACTGCTACTTCCCCACCAACGCCTCGCCTGGCTCAACTGCTTTCATTCGTGACGGGTGCGTCGTCGTCGGCCAGAGTGTTCCCGGTGGCAACATCTCCAACTACAACTTGGGCAAGACTGCCACCCACGAAGTTGGCCATTGGTTCGGTAAGTCCGCCTCGTGCTTTTTGGGCTCTTTATCGCCTCTTGACTCGCAAGTTCAAGGCTGACCATGTCCTTTTTTCCGCGTTATAAGGTCTTCTCCACACCTTCCAAGGAGGATGCTTCGGCAGCGGTGATGGCGTCAGCGACACTCCTCCACAGCGTAGCTCTACCCAGGGATGCCCTTCCAGCCGTGACTCTTGCCCTGGTGGTGGCGTTGACCCAATCCACAACTACATGGATTACTCATATGAGTAAGTTTTATCGTTGGAAGAATACCATCGAATAATGAGGGCTGACTTGAAACTTCACACAGCGTCTGCATGAACCAATTTACTTCCGGCCAGCGCACTCGCATCTACAACATGTGGAACCAATACCGTGCACGCGGCTGATTTGCTCGGGCCAGGCCAGATCAGGCCCTACACTTTTGAATTCTCATGTACATAGTTAAAACAAATTCAAAATGTGAATATGTCGAAGTCTGAAAATGATATATCTGATATTTTTTTAACACCCACATATGGAGAATGATAAGTTGAAGCACAAATCATCTCGTCTAGAAAGACACCAAAGCCGAACGCACACCGAGATTCATTCCCGACCTCGAAATTCCCCTGTGCAAGTTCCAAAGATCTTCGAGTCCATGCCCAAATCCAGCCTTCACATCCCTGTAGCCCGTTCGACCCCCATGGGCCTGGACAAAACCGGTGCCACCCGCAACCTGGGGAACCCCCGATCATCAGCTCGCTCCAAGCATTCACACCCGAACGTTTCAATATTTGATTTATGCAGAGTGCATAAGCGCTCTTTAGACTTTCCCCATGTTCAAGAGATGATGGGAGGAAACCTTTTAACCTTTTAGATCCAAAGTTACTTGGTCAGGGCAAGGCTTGAGCCAGTTGCCGGTCTGCGTGTTTTGAAGCCACGATGTCACCCACTAAAGTGAATATTCAGCACAGAGCTCCATTCTAGCCTGGAAGGTTAGCGCTGAGAGCATTCCAGAATGAGGGGACAGCGTGATATCGATGGATCGTCACAGATCCTGAGGGGCCCCCATCTCGTCTAAACTTTCCTTTCAGATGCCTTGTAGACTTCTGAGCTGCGGGGAGAGGAGAGGTTGAGCACGACTTTGCAAAACCGAGTTATTAATTAATAATAAATAGTTGGGAGTATTCAGAACACACCAATGATGGGACACCAAGCCGCTTTCAGCTTGAATGAAATACGATAGAATCTCGGGGCACCGACGACGTACATGCAACCGTGCCAACAAGAAGCCGGATGTTGTTCACTGGCACGAGGCAGCATCGGCGGGCGCTTGAAGACGGGGTGAAATGCGGAGTACTCCGCATCAGGAACGCTCAGTCGTGACCCAATAGATCAATTCTGACAGGGAAGAAGCTCATGTGCGATTTGTGAGATGCGGCCATCACATAACCGCAAAAGACCAGTAACAAAGACTTGCTAAAAGGCCTCGTTCGGTTCGACGTTCTTTTCGATACATGCCCCACTAGTAGTAATATAATAGTTCCGATCCGACTTTCTGGGAAGATGATACTCTCAAGTCAAGTTCGCTATTGCACCTTCGGTACGGAGTACTCCGTATATAAGTTGCCAATGTTTGACACTCAGTAAAATAACGACTGGTGCCAACCAGACGCTTGATAATGATTATCGATAACTGCTATATCGAATCCAAATAAGCCTGGCCGTGTTGCATAAACATCCCCAAAGCAACTCTCCCATCCCTGTCGTTGCTTTTGCCTCACGTGCACCCCGACCTCGTGACCACCGAAACGGGATACACTAACCATATATGGCATAGCTTATTGAGCAACCAATCTAGCCCCATCAAGCCTAGTCGCCTTGGCATTGGCTCTCCTTTTTCGATCAAGTGAACCACGATTGAGGAAGCAAGATATTAATAGCTGCCGGTCCAATTGTCCCAATCACGAATTAAACTCTATAGAGATCTTTGAAAGGGTCATTCTAGAGATTCACCATATAGATATGCATTTAACCATCCAATTTCTCTAAGGGAGATACTGAAAAGTGAAAAGGAGAAGGGCATCGCATCATCTAATCCGAACGACATAACAGGTCATACAGCATAGCTACATTTCATAAAATGGTGGGAAAGGGCATATACATCATTTCGTCGTCCGCTGGCTATCACCTGCTTCCCTCTTCGTGGCGCTCCCGTCTCCGTCCTCTGGCTCAACCCGCACGAGTACTTCCTCCAGGAAGCCTTCCAAAAATGAATTAATGTCTCCGCCCATAGGCACCGGCGCTTCCTCATCCCATTTTTCGATCTCTTTAAACACCCCAGCCGCCTTTATAACCAACCGTTTCAGCTTCTCGTGTGCATATTGCCGTTTTTGCGCCAACTCTAACCCCGCGGGGTTGGTTTGTTTCCCGTTGGAGTTGCGAGTTAAGGCGTGTAGCCTGCAGGTTCGACGGCGAAGGGAGGCCTCTAGAGCGGGAAGAATGACCCCATTCAAAGCTGTGATCTCGTTATCGGATGGTGCGGGGTGAGACGTAAATGCGATAGTGGATTGAGATGTGACAGAATCGGCGGACTTGCGAGACCGAGACTCTGTGGACTGAATTGAAGAAGCGGAGAGTTGCCTGTGAGCCTGGACTGGCGCCAGTGGCTTCGGGTTCGGCCTTGTTGCAGGATAGCGTTCGTTTTGAAGAGGAGGAAGCGGAAGTTGGCCGGGAAGAGATTGTGGATGGGGGGCTAGTTGTTTTTGGCCAGGTTCGCTTTGAGAAGGTGCTCTTGTCGCATGGCCCTTGAATGGTGGAATTTCTGGAATATGTAGAGGGACAGGTTTTCTAGGCACATTCTCGTTTGCCGGAGGGGTCGGGAGCGATTTGGGTGGTGGAATAGGAGTCCCATGAGGGGAGTCGTTACCTAATTGTAGGTATCCGAGATCTTGCGCTAATGCTTGTTGCAAAGCCCTATCGTAGTCCATACTACTGGGGCTTTCCTTCTCGTGATGAGGTAGTGCTTTGGAATGGTGGGCTGGAGTATTGAATGGCCCCTGATATCCAACATTTTTCTTCGGGGACGGTGGGAGTGGTATTTTGGATGGAGACAGTTGTGATGTAGACAGCAATGGCGGAGGAATGTTTTGTTTCTGTGGCGTTTTCTGTGGTGATGGAGGTGCTTCCAAAGCGTGGCTGGATGGTTTGTGCTGGCGATTTTCGGAGATAGCAAAATCTCGAGTGATAACTTGATGGTGGCGATCATCCGCTGCTTGGGCTCTGGCGTTTGCCGCGGCGTCATTCATGGCACGCAATCCAGCAGTCCGTCCCATCCCAGCTGGGCGCACAGTGCCGAAATCCCAAAGGTCTTCCTCTTCCGGTGTAGGTTGATGGGGGGTGGCAAACCCATCATCTTCGTCGTCTGATAATTCATTTCCGTGGGTAGTGAGCCACCGCTCATATCGCTCGATCAATTCTGTAAGATAAGTAGTTTTCTTCGCACGTTTTATAAACGGATGCCTTAACAGCTCTTTTGCAGTGGGACGTTCTCTAGGGTCTCGTCTCAAGCATAACTCCACAAATTCTTTGAACGGCCTGCTGAAGTTTCCATGTAAGGTGGGGGGCTGATTTTTGGGAATAAGAAATAAAACTTTCATCGGATGTATGTCTGAGTACGGCGGTTGTCCTTCCGCCAGCTCAATGGCCGTTATCCCCAAAGACCAAATATCTGCCTTGTGGTCATGGCCTGATTGCTTGATCACTTCTGGTGCCATCCAGAAAGGAGTGCCGACGAACGTGTTTTTCTTCGTCATGGTTGCCGAAAGCTGACCGGAAACCCCAAAGTCTGCAAGTTTAACTTGGCCATTCGCTGTAAGTAACACATTGGCCGCTGTAATATATGCAATCAGTCAGCTGGCCACAACTCCAGGAGCCATTCTGGTTTTGGTATCCCACCTTTAACATCTCTATGTAGCTTATTGTCGGTATGTAGATAGTCTAGTCCCATCAATAGTTCTCGTAGGATAATCATAATATAGTCTTCTTCAATCTTGCCTGCTCGCATCAAGTCCGAACAGCTCCCACCGGAGCAAAATTCCATTATAATCCACAGGTAGGATCCTTTCAGGTACGAGCCATGATATTTCGTCACGTACGGGGAATTGAGCTCCGACAAGATTGAAATTTCCTGGATGATATCTTCAACATCGTCGTCGGCATTCTCGACGTCAACTATTTTAATCGCAACTGCCTGACCTGTTCGCTTGTCGACTCTAATCATATTTTACACAATTGTTAAATCAGCGCTTCAAATACACCTCGGAACGAAAGTCAAGGAGTCCATACCCTTTATATACCTTACCAAAGCTCCCACCCCCTACGGAAAATAAGCAGTTAGCCATGTTCAACAAACGGGCTGGCTTTCATCCTCTCTCTAGCATACCGATGCAATTCTGTTTTGTATAAAGCGTCTCCGGGTCCACTGCTCGACTCTCCATTTTTTGAGTCTTCTAGCTCCACCCACACTAGCTTCAAAGTCCACCGATATAATCGATAGTCTAGGTGCCCAGAGCTCCGTTTGGCTGAGGAGTAAAAGTTGCGGGGTGGGTTGCACGAGTTCGAGGGGCACGCAGTAACAGCCTGAGAACAATGGTCGACACAGAAATACGTGCTCAAAATACCGGGCTCAATGGTTTGAGGTGTTGTTTGACAGTGTCTGGTGCGTGCTCCTGGGACGTATGCTGCAGCCGACCGTCAACCGATATGACGGCACAATTGTGGTGGTGGTTATGTGAGTTTAGCTTGTCAAAACAAACAAACAGCCGCGGGAGCTGTCCATGGAACAAAACCACTAGTAAGGTTAATTACGCTTGGATACGTGTTTCTTGTCCGTCAGTTCCTGTAATTACAAAAGATCAGTCTCATCTTATCTTATCTTATCAATCTCATCAAATCCATTAATTACCCCACCTTCCTCCATCAACACAAACTGTTTGGAGACATTACTACAGATGCATATTGGGCATGAATTTTCACAGACATATTTTTTGAAGTATGATAAACAGGAAGCCGACAGAATACATATTGAAGAAACCGACTGTGATGTGGGATTTAATTTTGATATGAGCCATACACGCCCTGTTTAGTAGATTCATTTGATAGCCTCATCTCGCATACATCTTTGTTTATCATAGTAAAAAGCGTGAAGTAGGTCATAAGCATCATCCAAGTCCGATGCATCTAATCATCTTCCACATACCCAACCATCACAGTCCCGTTCTTTAAGCCTGCATCAGCGATGCTTGCATCGAGCATTGTGATTAGATTTTGTCCCATCGATACCAATTCAAACTCAAGCCCCGCCTTGCCTTCTATTGGAGACGCCTTTAGCCATTCATAAAGTCGTCTGATTGGGTCTGAGAGAGCGAATCTTCGAATAATTCTGCCGGACGAGTGTCGGAATTGGATCCTAGTTGTTGTGGCGGGATTTGCTTCTGGCTCTTGGTGCGGTTGGTTAGATTGAATGGATTTGAACAGTCTAGAAGATTCGTCCCCTTGATCCTGTCCGTTTTCGGCCTGGGAGTCAGTATTTTTTAGATCGTCACTGGCTGCTGTGGCTTTCCCTTTGCCCTTGATATCGCTAATGCTGCGGGTTAGTTCATCGGGGTCCTCATGCTTCGGAGCAGCTTGACCTTCCAAGCTATTCTGTAATGCCATCTCCAGCATTTCCTCTTCCGTCATGGCGTCTAACTTGGAATGGGGTTTAACTTCGGGTTTCCGCCGCGCAACAGGGTTGCGTACAGTATCATCCAGACTGTATCGATCAAGGAACTCGTGAAGTTGCATGAGGAATTCGGCAGCCTTTATCACGGGGGGCCCGGACCATATTTTGACTTGTTCTCCAGTTCTCGGGTCGACGATGGCGATATGTGGATAGTTGTTCTGCACGTCATGTCCAGAGAAGTAGTATTGAATGTATTGAGCTCCACGCTCATCGTCTTTGGTAAACTGTAAGAAAAGAAAGTTCTCTTTCACTGTCTCTACTATGCTCGGGTTTTTCCAGATATCTCTGTTCAACAACTGGCAGTCGAAAATGGACGGGTCTTGAACATTGACAAGCAGCCATTTCTTTGCATCCCGCCCCTCATTTCGCGCGGTCTCCCAGGGAAGTCTCGACATGATCTCAAATGGGGGTCTATACATTTCAGCAAGCATGCTAGATTTGGAGGACGATTCGGAAGCTCCGCCGGTAGCTCGAGAAAGTGTTGCCCGCTGTAATTGCGGATCTTCGTCGTTCCAAATAGATGAAGGAACATCTCTCTGGTTAAAAATGCCAGGGCGCCCTATCGAACAATACGTTAAATCTCGCTCGACTACCGCTTGATTTGGTACTTACCTCCTCGACCTCGTTGCCTAGCCCGAACTTGCCGCAATATTTCTGAGTCCATATCGTCAAAGTCTGTATCTGGGCCTACAAGGGTTTCGGTTCTCCTGGCCATCGGGGCCCGGACAGCATCTGCAGATTCACCCGTAGCGTAAAGCTCTTCCTGTAGACGACGCGCCATTGCTAGATCCTCGTCAAAAGATGGGCCAGTATTTCCAAAGTTTCCCTGGTTTGACGTAGTTCCAACAGGTGTACTAGCATTCTCGTCATCCGAGTCGATATGAACAATCCCATTTTCATCTTCGAATCCGGCTGAGACTCGAGGGCGACTCAACGAACGTTGGACAGGAGCCGGTTGCGATTCCGTTCGGATCTCTGCACCACCATTTTCAAAGTACAGTTGCATAGCAGTCTCTAAGTTATAATCGGACAGCTGGAGATACTGTGTGGCTGTTTCGGGACTCGAGCCCGTAATTTCTGTGAACTGGGCGACCGCAGCGTCCTCCATGATCGCTGCTCGATAGGACGGGAACGAGACAGTCGAGACGGGCGAGTAAAGTGAGGAGATCACGAAAAATGGGGAATCGGGGGCGCTAACAGAAAGTTGCAGTTAAACCGGCAGTACGGTTGTAGTAGCTCTGACGGGAACAAGGGGAATGATGTCAGTCTTCAATTTATGAGCTTCGAGGAACGAAAGAATGATAACAAACGGGACATTAAAGCTGGTTTAACAGGCCCATGGAGAGATGGAGGAGCAACGAACATAGATTGTTAGGCAGTTCAGTGGTTCGTAATAGGCGACCTTGATAATAGTCGGAATGTCATTCCAACAAGGCAACACAAGCTGAGGAGCCTCAATACGTCAAAGTCACATGAAGCTTCCGGTGAATCTAATCTTCCGCATCGCTGATGAATAATCTGCCAAGCCGTAGCTTCTCAGGCGCGAGAATTGGGCTGTGGCTGAGCCATTACGGCACGCGAGATGATCCGTAGGTGCAGTTAGATGCATAGCATTTTATGCAACGAACCTGCGCAACTGGTCGAAATTACCCTCCGTATGCGTGTCGAACGCATCAACCATCGCAGTAATGCGCTTGAATTACAGAGTAGAGCCAGACAAAACTTTTCATAATAAGTACAGAGCCGAGTGTGAGAAGGGATTCAGCCTCTCATCACGAACCGGTAGAGCAGGTGGTAGTTACTACATACGACAGTTGCACTCTGCACCACACAGAGCGTGTCCCTGCCAAGACATTGTCGGCTTACCTTCCCAGGACACGTCCACCACGGGTCCGCGTTCTTGCTGCTTTAAATGATTTTCGCGACACGCTAAGAGCGACGCGTCGGGAGGTACTTTCCCCACGCGAAAAGGTACCTGCCCAGGTACTTCCTCCCCATCACTGAATTGCTCTCGCTGTTTTGGCAAACTAGCAAGCAACACCTTCAACCACGCACCCTTCATACATTCACAGCAATGGCCCCATCAATCCTCGGCAAGCGTCAGCGAAGTAATGCTGAGTCTCATGGTAATTACAATCTTCCCGTTTCACCTGCACTCCTTCGCCGTCGCGTTGCAAGCTTGCCCGAAAGAGTCCGCTCACAATTAGATCTAGAAGACTCACCAGTCCACTCGTCGAGGAAGCGACGAGCAACTCGAGAGCCCCAAATACACCATGATAACCAGAGTGGAAGCCCCTTTAGTTCGCCAACGAGCCAACGCAGGTCGAAGCGCCTCCAGGCTTGCGGCCCGCAGGACGAACCCAGCCCTAAACGCTCGAGAACAACCGCGCAATTGCCATGCAAAAATTCCGAAAAGGTATTTTGCAAGGCAAACCTAGTTGAAAGAATCAAGGAGCCAGTAACAGGTTGGTAGTAATCGGCCATTATGGCAAGTCAGAACCCGGTGCTGATTCTGAACAGATGAAAACATCGATCCCAACAACCAGCCCAGAACTCCTCGATCCAAGAGATTTCAGGATGCGCTCTCCGCCGCTTCTCCGGTCACTCCCAGACACCGCGTTCAAGTTGCTGTCAAGCCAGTCACACCTCGAACACCCCGAGTCATCTCATCCGCTCCAGCTCGATCCGTCTACGTTGACGCTAGACAGCTTTTCGTGCGGAGTGCCAATCCTGGTCGTTTGATCGGGCGCCAGGACGAAAGAAACGAGTTGACAAAATTCATTGAGAGTTCCGCCTCCTCAAAGCGAGGTGGCTGTATGTATGTGAGTGGGCCACCAGGCACTGGGAAGAGCGCTTTAGTTGAGGGAGTTTGTCGTGAACTACAACTCGAGGCTACTTCCAAAGTCGCATATGTGAATTGTGCTAGTATGACAAGCGCACGCAACATCTTCGGAAAATTGGTCGAGGAACTTTGTGATGACTCCCAGGTGTTCAAGAAGAGCGAAGTTGATCGACTCCGGAGCCTGTTCTTTCCGAGGAAGAAATCTTGCAATGCTGTATATCTCGTTGCATTGGACGAAATAGACCATCTATTGACAAGCGACCTTGAGATACTTTATACCTTTTTCGAATGGTCTATGCAAGCGAATTCCCGCCTCATCTTAATTGGAATCGCCAACGCGCTTGATCTCACTGATCGATTTCTCCCAAGACTAAAAGCGAAAAATTTAAAGCCGCAGTTGCTCCCTTTTCTGCCCTATACACCGACACAGATTGCCAGTGTAATCACTGCCCGGCTTCGATCGCTATTGCCCGATGATGCGGCCAAGGACCTTGTGCCTTTCCTCCACCCCGCCGCTATCCAACTCTGTGCGCGCAAGGTTGCATCTCAATCAGGCGATCTTCGTAAAGCCTTCGATTTGGTTCGCCGTACCATCGAATTGATCGAGCAGGAAGCCAAACAAAAGGCCAATGTTGCATCAGCAAGCACGTACAAAACTCCCTTGTTGGAAAATACGAATCTCGCATCTCCCTTGTCACCGCCAGATACTCCCGAGCCTAAGGATTTGATTTCCAGTTTTACAGCGGCCACCGCACCTCGGGCTACCGTGGCTCATGTCGCTCGTGTCACTTCCGCCGCTTTTGGCAACGGAACCGCTGAACGGCTACAAGACCTCAATCTCCATCAAAAGGCTGCGCTTTGCGCCCTTGTCTCGCTTGGGCGAAAGCGACGTGCAGCCTGTTCCAATACTCCAAGTAAATCACCCCGATCCGCTGCTCCAACAATCAAGGAGCTGTTTGATACTTACTCCACTTTATGCCGAAGAGATAATGTTCTCCAACCTCTTACAACTACTGAATTCAAAGATATTATTAGCGGTCTAGAAACCATGGGCTTAGTCGGAGAAGCCCAATCTCGTGGCGGCCGTGGCCCGCCAGCAATGTTCCGCACCCCTACAAGGACCGGACGGGGCGCTGCCTTCGATGACAATGGCCTGGCTTGCTTCGTTGGGGAAGAAGAAATTGAAGCTCAGATCACAGGACCTGGAGAAGGCATTTTGAAAGCTTTATTACGAGAATAACCTTTATGACTGGCTGATGCTGTTATTGTGCATTTTGTTATTCCCATAATCATTATGAGCGTTGATATTTGTACCGGGATATGGGTTTATGTTGGAATTGGATTCCTGTTGCATTTTTGTATGGTTTAAATGGAGTTGAAGGAGCTTGTGCTTGTTAGTGCAGCTATCTGTCTTATTGTTATTCTTGATTTGCATTTGTATTTACATTGGCATAGATACTTGATGGAGTAACATTGCATTTCTCCTTCCTGCGCACCATGTGCAGCAGTAGTGTACCTTGCTGAGGTTGACCTCTTTAAGTCACGTTTAATCATAAAAATTCGACCAGAAGCGTGAAATCGATGGTATAAAGCAACAACAGTTTAACTGTGAAACCAGTTCTCCGGCATCAGAGGCATAAGGGTTCTCACCATTCCAGAACGAGGCGCCATCAATTCATCCTGATCAACGACGTATAACTACGTCCATACACCAGTAGCAAACAGTCTTAACATAAACTTACACAGTAGAACATTACATAACAGAGGGAATATGAAGCGTCTGAGCAAAAGAATAAAAAAAAAGAGGTACAAGAATGAGAGACAGGGGATCTTCGAATAACCGCTCAAGACTAGTGGAAAAGAAGGGGGGCAGGTAAGAAAAGTAATCGTATTTTCCTTAATCAACCCTGAAGGCATCAACACGTCAAAGGAGGCAAATCAGTCATCCATGGGTCTATCCTCCAACGTCACTCCTACCGGCTTGGATGGAATCTGATCCATGCCATCTTGTTGAGTGTTCCCCCCAGCGCTATCCGGAACCACATTGCCAACGCTATCCCTGTTCAAACCTGTAATGCGAGTGTATCTCCCACTCGACCGGGAGAGTGAGTTGCTCTTCCCCACCGTGGACGCGTTTGTATCATCTTGGGCAATTGAGGAGTCACCGCCGCCGTTTGTTGCTGCATTGTTACCTGAGGAGTCGGTGCGAGTTTCGGTTGGGGCTGAAGTGTCAACCGATCCGGGGACCTCTAGACTCTGTCTCCCAACTCGTCGCTCAGTCGTTGGGCTGTTGACGTTAATTGGAAAACGAGTTGATTCCGATCCACCCGTAGATCGATCCCTCCGATGACGATATCCGGGAGCTGGGCTGTTCGCGCGACTTCGATCAGCGATTGCTCTATTCCTGGCCTCCATATTCGCCCGTCGATTACTTTCGTCAGTGCTTATTGCACGTGGCCGAGAAGACCCTGACGACAAGCTGCCAAGGGAGCTGGCCTGACGTTTCAATTCTCCAAAGATCTCCTCTTTGTGATCGAGAAGATCTCGAAGAAGGCGGTAATTGTGCCGCTCGTCCATCGTGAGGTTGCTTTCTATACGGGGTCGGAGGATACAAGGCGCTAGGTGCTGGGCGAGAGCGGTAACATATGCATCGTCCGCCGAAGTCAGGTCAATCAATCGTGTGAAATGAGTGATAATCGCGTCCAACGTCGCAATGTTATTTAGGCGAAGCTGGCCTAGCGTGTTTTGTAAGACTTTCACGCGGCCTTCTTCGGACGCATCGCTAGTCGTAGTGTATATAGTTCTCACAATTTCATAAACCTGGGAAGATACAAGGGAATCTATTGACGTTAGTCAAGAAGGAGGAATGAGTTGAGAAGCCCAGGACACACCAGGTAATTCAAGTAGATACAACTTCAAAACGCTCGCAACAGCAGGAATTTCGTATCGGTCTAATACTTCAGGTTGAACCGGCTGGCCATTGTTAATTTCATTGCGCAGATGATGTATCGTTGCGAGTGGCACTTCATGAAGCCATATTCCCCGACGGGCTTGATCGCCTTCCAAATCGGGATACCCTACAAAAGTCATGTTAGTCACGTATCGGGCGAACGATTGTTTAATGGAGCCATACTGTTATCGAGATAGGTCAAAATACTAGTGACAATGATAGGGACTCGTTTGCGATCTGCCCTGGCCCTAGCTTCAAGATCAACGCCAAAAGTTTGATCTAGCTTGGCTGTTAGTAAAATGCATTTATACACCATGCGGAGAACCTTTCACCAACCGTCGACGGAGCCATAGTAGTTTTCATATGGTTGGACACGTGGTACGAATCCTCCAGTTCGGTAGTTCTCCAAAAGGTACCTCAAGTCTCCCAGGGGTTGAATGGTTTCCTGATAAAGCATCATGTGGTCAACGGTGCTCCGCAAGGAGGGAATAACATTGCTTATTGCCCCCGAAAAATCAAGAACAACCGCTTTGATTGCCTTCAAACGGTCCAGCTCGCATCGTTCCATAAATCTCAAATAGTCGATGATCTCTTGTTCCATCGTACATCGCATGCGGTCTAATTTCTTGACAGCAGCCTTGTAACGTTCATCCGCCTCGCGAGCCTCGCGTCTGAGTTTTTCCGCAGGCGTTTCATTGGGATGCGGGTTGTTGAGAGGGTTCCATCCAGATAGTATCTCGGCGACGGTTGGGGAGTCTGCATTATCATCACTACTCGATGCTAGCGATGAAACGCGTAGCAGCGGTTTCTTTTTCTCTGGAATTCCAGTAACTTGGAAGGCTTTCGGGCGCCACTGATAGTTCATTCTCGAGCTGTTGGCGAATGTGCTGCCGACGTTCCCAACCAATCGCAAGAAACCGTTGTCCACCATGTCTTGACCGATTCTTTCTGCATAGCTAATGCTCGACGCGTTCAAATGCTTTTGGATATATTCTACAATATCCGCGCCGGTAGAAGTATTCAAATAGGTGCCGAGAATTGGAACTTTGGCCTCTCCAATCTTGATTGTCTCGAGCATGTGGGTGAGCAGTTTCTTCAGCTGGTCTGGAAGGTACACTTGATCCCCCAACTCAATCGGTTCAGGTTCCTCATCGGCGTCAGGTAAAACGATGGTTGGAGGTGCCGGTTGTGGACTGTTGGTGTCTCTTTCAGGGCTCTGGAAAGCAAGTTTATTCTCCTCCTCTAGATCCTCAACCAAACGACATTTATTGAAATACTGGCTTCGTAATTTTTTGGTCATTTCCGCCTGTTTCGTATGCTCTTTAACTCTAGCCTGGAGCTCTTCCTGGCTGTTCAAAATCCGTGCTTCGTGCTGGGCTGCCCAGCGGCCAAAGGGATTCACGACAAGGTCTCTAATATTCGAGGCGATCTTCTGATGATTTTTGGTGGCCTCGATCATTTCGCCTCGGACTCCTTCGTATGCCTAATCCCAATCAAAAGTCAAAATAAATCTCAACGGGAGTCATATGTTGTTCGCAAAAGCACACCGGCACTCACCTTCCGTACACTAGCACCATCGTCTCGGGAGAATCCATTTGACATCCGATCGATTGATGGTGCAATGTCTCCCAATCTAGCACTGTATAGCTGCTCCGCATCCGCGCGCATACGAGCAATGGCAAGGATCTGCTGGTTTTCAACAATACCCTGCTGCAATTTGGTGAAAAGAACGCCGAGTCCGCTCGCATAGTCGGGAGACCAGAACGAGTCTGCGAAGCCCGGCATCGTGGATGGTCGTGAGCGATGGTGGTCCGGAGGAGGAGCAAGAACGGCGGCAAGCGTTGAAGGCAGTAAGCGCTAACAAGGGAGTCGGTCGTAGAACGGGAGAGCAACTCCGCCGATTATAGAATTAGGACAATAGGGCTTTGTGGTACAAGAGAAAGGCGTGAGATATTGCCGGTGAAAAGGTAGTTATACCAACCTACCGAGTATTCCCGTTGGGCGGCTCAGGAACAAAGTAAAGTTTGATTCTGACACAAGTGGCCTCTCAGAGGAACCAAAAGCTCAGGAGAGAGTCAATCCCAGCTAGAACGCAAAAACGCAGGGGGAACGCGACGGAACGTAGATGGAAGGGCTCAAAGACAGTCGAGTAACAAGCACGAAGCCAGGGGGAGTCTGAGGTTGTCGAAGGAGCTCGTCGGCTTGATTGCGCATCGCCAGCTGGTGAACTGTCAGCACGGTCACGTGTGGCACGTGGCTGAGATGAGGTACTGGTACTCAATGTGCTCAGGTGATTTGCTAACAGCTGAGGTACCGGTACTTGACGGTAGGGCTGGGCTAAATTTAGTTACATAATTGACTTTGTGGCTGTGTCAGCCGCAAATACACTTAATTCACCCCCCATCAAGGTCGCTTGCTCCATAAAATGGCCTGGGTGGAACTTCGTTCAAAATATGCTTGCAAGTTACTGTACAAGAAAATACCTCCATCCGGTACTCCAATCTCAATCAGCAAAAGAATCGATAAAATCGCTTCCAAGCCGGCCATTCCGCCCTCTCAGCCTGTTCCTCTGCGATCAAATGCGCCAAATCCCGATCGCGGCGACCGGTTTTCAAGTCCATATCCTTGGCTCGGACGATCTTGGTCTTAAACAGAAGCTTGTACGGAACATAAAAAAGAATGACGATGGGGGCAGCAAGGTAGACGGAGAACCAGTTTTCCACACGAGCGAGTACCGGGTCCTTGTCCTCCTTCAACATCACAGGCGCAATCCCAACCCAGAACTGCGCGATGAGCACGAGAAAGTTGAATATAACTCCGATCCACGAGCCAATCAGGCCTGGTTGAGAGGTGAAAGACAACTCATCAAGACTGTGTCCCTGCACGGCCCAACCTCGACGGAATCGAATGTGAGCTAAGCAAATCGAGCTCCATGTGAGAATGGAGGACAGTCCCGAGATGGCGATCATCCACGTAAATACTTCCTCCTGGTGCGAGGATGCAGCCAGAAAACCGAGCAGGCCTACCACAGACGCGACACAAATGGCCAAGAGAGGACGACCTCGACGGTCAATGTAGGCAAGGAAGCGTGGCGCCTGGTGCTGTTCAGCTAGAGCCGCCAAGGTACGTGAAGAGCCATATATCGCCGAGTTTCCAACCGAAAGAACAGCAATCATGATTACAACGTTCATGACTGAATCCAGCCCTTGTATCCCTGCATCTGTAATCGCAATGACAAACGGGGAAGCTGTGGAATCGTTCGATGATGCGCTGAGTAAACGCGAGTCTGTGTATGGAACCAGAAGTCCTACGACCGCGAGTGCCAACACATAAAAAAGGGCGATCCTCCAGAAAACCTGTTTAACCGCACGCGGAAGCGCCTTGCGTGGGTTATGTGCTTCAGCGGCAGCTAGACCGACAAGTTCAGTGCCGGTAAATGCAAAAGCTGCATTCACAAAGCAGCTACAGAGGCCTTTGAACCCGTTGCGAAATGCGCCGGGATTGTGCCAATATCGACCTCCAATGTATGAACCACCCTCACCGCCACCAATGTTTAGAACGATACCCAATATTCTAGTCAGAGATTAGAGTCACTTGGCTTAACGGTAGATTGATGGGCAACTTACATGAATCCGATGACAGCAATCACTTTTATTATCGAGAAGATGAATTCGGCCTCACCATAACCTTGCACGCCAAACAGATTGATAACAACTACCAGGACGTAAAAAATGGCAACCCACGCAGCAGGCGAGATTTCGGAGCGCCAATAATTCACTGTCAAGGCAGCCGCTACAATTTCCAATGGTAAGACAACCAACCACTGCAGCGCGTAGTTCCAACCCATGGCGAAGCCCCACGCGGGGTCCAAGAAGCGAGTGGAAAAGGCAGAGAAGGAACCAGCCACGGGAAAGAGGACGGCCATTTCTCCCAAAGCATGAACCGTGGAGTAGACCATAACGCCGACGAGGATGAATGCGATTAGGAGCGACGCAGGGCCCCCAATAGCGAGGGATTTGCCAGAACCGACGAAAAGGCCCGTACCTATGTGCGATCTAGATCTCAGCGAGGATAGATAAAGCATATGCATGAATGAAGGTCCATTGCTCGGTTTTCTAGAACGAAGAATCCATACCTACAGAACCCCCAATGGCAATCATCTGCAGATGCCGCGCCTTGAGCTTCCTCTGCAATGGCGAGAGGGCCGTATTGGCCGTAGCCTCTTCCAGATTGAATAGCTTTCCACCATTTTCTATCTGACTGGGCTTGGAGACAAACGCATGCGGATTGCGTTTGAATCCGTCCAGAAACTGCTGCCAAGCACTGAGCTGAGGCAGGTCATCTTCATAGGCTAGCGAGCCGCGAGGTAAGGAGTTCTGATGGGAGAAATGGGGAGAGAGTTGGGCTGGCTTCCGATCATGGTTGTGCGGAGAAGTGACCATGATCACAGAGGCATCAGCGACTTGAGGATCGACGCCGGGGGATGGAAAAGAGCCCTTCAAATCCGTCGGTTGGGGTTAGCCGGGGACGGCCACACACCGCTCATCGCAGTCGCATTCAACGAAGAGAAATGCGTCTCGGAGCATGTAGACAGGCGAGAAGAATGCGCATTTCTGGGTTGCCGTTTGTTTGGATCCAACGCGGGGGCCTGGTGGAGAATGAAGTCGGGTTGTTACGTCGGGGTTGGATTCTCCATCGCGAAGGGAGAATAATGGATCCAAGGTCCAGGAAGCCTGCTCCCACGAGGGCTCTTCACGCTGGCCTGCACCAAGCATTGGCAAGTCGGATGGATCCGAACTCACATGAGGAGAGACCAGGGAGCAGGGGAGCCCTTGCTGGCGCTGGTCTGGATTTCGCACCCTGGCTCTCCAACACGATGTTGGGCCTGCCATGATCAAACCATCGATCGATTCTCGACTGACAGCGTTTCAGGCTCAAGAAGTTCCATCGCATTCACCGCGATCCTGTTAAGCGCCAGGATGAAACGCCAGGGAGACTCGAAAAGGCGTGGAATTTCGGAACCGGTAACCAGAGATTGAATCAGATGCGTCCGTTTTTCGGGTCAGATCGTGAGCCTTCCAACGCCCAGCGGCATGGCCAGAGTAGCGGGATAGCTGTTCGTATCTCCGGGCAAGACCAGAATTCATTTCCTCCATGAATCAAGGACAGCTTGAGAATTGCGCCAATTCTTGGCTCAATTTGTTCTTCAATTGTGGCTTGCCAGCCAAGGGAGAAGTTTTTTTTTATTTCTTTCAAACTCCAGACACTGGCAACATCACTCCTTTCTTCTCACAAACTATCATTTCTCATCCTGAATTGTACGCGGTACTGCCACACTAATCTACAAACTAAATCCTCACAAGAGCAATATTGTTGTCTTTCAAGATGACAAAATTCTTTTCAGTCTCAGCAAGAATTGACTAGTTCATCTATAGCTGGGATTCTTATTGTTTTTGAATGCTTCAAAACCGGAGGATGCCACCACATTATGATGTTTGAAATGTCTATTTCAAACATACTAGGCCCATTTCCTGTGTCTGTCACTGACAATCATTACATATCTGGCCCCGGTAGCCTCTTAACAAGAGGTAGCCGTGCAAACAACATTTGAAACCATTCTTCCAGCCGCTGTTTACCATTTTCCCAACGGACGCTGATGGAGCAAGCAGTAATATGTACAGCAGTCTTGTTCAGTAGCAGTCAAGAGCAGCCTTGAATTCGTTTCTGACACAAGCTGCCATAACTACACGCCCTGAGAGGGGAGCAATTGGCATGGTAAAATATATGTCATGTATCGCAGCTAGGATCAGCAGACATCTGGGACCATATGACCGGTCAGGGGTTTTACTGAGCTTATTCTTTCCAATTCGCAAACCACCCTGATGCACGCATGCATAAACAAAAGTACAGGATGCTTTGAGACTGACAAACCTCTAGCCCACAAGTGAGAGAAGTGTGATAGCATCCTGATCCGTTTGTTCTTCCATGTAATGGGTTTAGCTCTGACAATGGAGGGGACCTGTCGAAAGGCGGGAATTTACTTCGTGCAGTATCAACACCAGCACAGTGGTTATCCATTCCATTGCCAACTCCGTAGGTGTGGTCATTCTGAGTTTAGGAAGAATTACGCACGGCTATTGTAGCCTGGGTCGTAGCTTTCTTCAAACAAGGATATAGTTGCAAAGCATTGGTTCATGGTTATCCCAGGATAAATATCTACGACTTGTGGAGCGCTTAATCCGGGACACGGTCAAAATCGTAATGCGCCTTGAAAAACTCGACATGATTTTCGGTTTGCTAGCTATTAGTTATGTGAGAGGCCCGAAAGAAGTAACACTCCTAATGCATTCGTGGAATAGACGTCCCATATACATACCCGTTCAACGGTCAATCCAACCGTTTCCAAGAACCACAATTAACGACGAATTTTCATAGGGGAGACGGCACCGAAGACGAATTCGGCCACTCCCGCATCCGCCACCGGCAGCTTTGGCGACGCGGCCCTTCTCAGCGCCCATCGGCTTTCATTGGCGCGAGCACCTCTTCCATGTGCTCCAGGAGTTCTTACTGCTCGTCGGCGCAGGGCTTGGAGAGTAATTCTCCGAAGCCTAGTGCCATATTTTCCACATCATGATTAGAAGATGATATCAATCATGATCTTTTTATTACGACATCTGACATGCTCTCCACCATGTAAACGAGACCACTCCATTGAGATATCTTTATGCTGGTGATTTTTTGAGTCCTTGATGTTCGACTTACCTTGGAACCGCTCCTCGCAAAGTTCTTTATGAACCGCCGATAAAACGCGGCAAGGCCCAAGAACTGTTGGTGTTCGTGTACGGTCTTCGGCACAGGCCATTTCGCGCTCACATCCACCTTTGCTGGCAATGATGGACCGTTTGCTGTTGTGATTTAGTTAAGGCTCATGATTATAGGTTGTTAAGTTGATCATTCTAGCTGTGATGGAGGTGAATGAGAATGAAAGATGATTAATGAAGCATTCCTTAATAATTTCCCATCGACTAATAATATCCTATTGAAGTGAAACGAAAAATGAATAAAGTGCCCGGAGGCGCATGGAACGGACGAAGTTCTCACCAACTGTAATTCGACTCTGACGACTCCTCTTCTTCATCATCATCGACCTCCTCGAGTTCGGAAACACGATCGACGACTCTCGGATAGACGGACGCGACGGCGGCACCTGCTGCACGGAGCGGTTTGATATCATCTTTAACGTCTTTGAGGGACGAAACGGACGCCTTAAGACCCGGATGGGATTTAAGGGAAACATGGTCGGAAGCTTCGACAAGACGAGACGACTTGGTTTTGGACGGAGTACCTTTCGCTTTGCGGGACGGCAAGACGCGAGATGGAGTTTGTGCGGGTTCGTTATCGGGAACAGGGTTACGACCTGTACCGGAACGAAGGGAGCAGAGATGTGGCGAGTCTGACAAAGGCTGTGCCCTGCTAGTAGAATATAGAAGAGTAGAACAAGAGCATTGATGAGCTAGACTTTATAATGCTGGGCGCTAAATCATAATGTGCTTAGTTCTAGGTTGTAGGTGAAGTAGATTTAAAGTGAATGTAATAAGAGGCAGCGTTTGCGAGTTGTCACCTGCCCAGACGTTCAAATTGTTGATATCCGAAGGAACTCAAATCTAGAAAGGCAAAGTTCAGTGACTGTTCATATAGCTGCCATCCTGGCATTTTAATAAAGTCCAGTTGAGTTTGATATTGTTGAAAGATAGAAGCCCAGGGATATAAATGAAAGAGAACTCTGACTCGAATGAAAGTGTAGGCGGCACCCCTTAGATGTGGAGGATGTATAATGAAGGAGGAGACAATCCTATAGAAAAGAGTTGTGTGAAATTCTTTAGGCCATAGATAGAAAGACAAATAGGCTGATAGCGGCTCTTACCAACCATCTGCTCATTTGTGGGTTGCTACCACACATGCAACACCTTCCCTAGCTTTCTGTGGAGTAGAAAACTAGCACTTAGTAATTGGTTTGTGATGATAGGCATTCCTCTATGCACAAAGGGACAGCAGTCAAAGCTGGTCACCCTCTTTGAAATAACTGACTCTGCATTCAGGTGTAGCTGCAGTTATTTATATGCTCCACACATAGTTGATGTGAGTTTAAAATATCATAAACCTCATAGGTGATGCAACAAGCTCCCAAGAACTCCAGTTAAAATGTGATAAAAAGGGGGGCCGACTCCATTTAAGCGGCGTCGACTTCCACCTAGCTTGCGGAGCCAACAGGTCCCTCGCCGCCGGGAATTAACTTAATATCAAATTGTCAGCTTCATGTATGATACTGCAAAAAGAGGATGAGGGATAAGCAAACCATGCAGATATTGTTTCCATTTAATAAGATCTTTGGCAGCTTTGTTTGTGCTCCGGTATAATCACTGGGAAGGATGTCAGTATGAAAATCGCCGGTGTAGGAATGCAGAATGCGTGTCCATACAATTCTGTGACATCCTCAAGGACCATATCTAATTCATTCGTTAGCTTTCTTGATTTTAACAAGATAATTATCAAAGGAAAACCCCTGAGGTGAAAATGAGATGCAAATACATACTAACATAATCATCAAACCCAAGTAGGGTTCCGCTGAATTCTGTGATACAGCACAGGTCAGTCATAGTATCCTCAGATCTACAACAACACGATTTCAAGATGGCCTGCTGTACCTTTATCCCCCTTCATCACGACCCATATCTTCGAGCCCACACACTTGTCGATTAATTCTATCCCCTCTATTAGTAGCTAACCCCGGATAAGCATTGGGGTCGGGATGTTTACCAAGTGGAAGTAGTTGCGACGCCATATCGAAAAGATTTTAAGATAAGTGTAGTTACAGCCAGAATGATGAACCGAAGTCGAGGTTGTCCCTTTGCTAACTTGGCTTGCAACGAGATTTGCCCATATCAGAACGTCGCGCGCTGACGGTCACGTGACCCAACGACTGCGCCAGGCAAGATTCAAAAGAATACATATGATATCAAATTTCTGAATTATCTAGTATAATATGTAGTGACGGACTCCTATCCTGCCGCTATATATACTCAGAGGTTTATTAGGGAGCGACCCAATTATCCTCTCAACGGGAGGATCTTGGATCCTAGTGCTTCTTGCCGGCATAAAGGGCATTCCGGCTTTTCTCGCACCCAGTCACGAATACATATCCAGCAAAACACATGTCCGCAAGTGGATACACTTGGGTCTTTGAAAGGTTCCAGACATAAAGTACACTTCCGCTGCTGCCCAGCCGGTATCCAGTTGAGGGCGGTTCCCGCATCCAGTGCGAGATCATACCGGGGTGTATTGGGTGGTAACGAAGGCACAGATGGGGGGTTATAGACGCTCTTCAAGTGGTTGCCATCCCCTCCAAAGTCCTGCCGCTCCTTTGATTGAGTTTCCTCGTGGATAGACTCAACAACGTGTTTCGCGTGGACAACACCCTGGACAACAATTTGCAAGACCATTAATACTCCCAGTACTTCGTACCCAATTCTCTCTTCGCTTTCTCCTATTTTTTTAGAGAATACATATCGTAATCCCCATAGCCGCTTCGAAATGTGGTAATATGCGCCTGTGAAATAGAAAGCCGCGAGGTTGACCGCGTAAATGGGCGAAAGAGATGTCAGTGAATCCAAATGGTCGAGAATATACATTTGGAATTTAAGGGCTAGGTTTTGCCTCTTCTTTTGCTGCTCCTCTTTTGAAAAATACACGGATTTTGCCTGTTTCCGCGCAATACTCCGCTCCAGCTTCGCTCTCAGCCGGCGCCTAAAGGCTGGGAGAATTCGCTGCAGTGTCCACGGCATAAGAATGCAGCTAAAGATATAGCCAGCGCGTCGCGCTAGTGCTGGAAGCCGTAAAGAATCATCCTCCAATTGTACAACATCGCAGTATTCCTCTCCAAGGGTTCTGTTTCCGATCAAAGTCGTGAGCGACAAATATAAAAGTTCGGTAAGGTTTTTAATGGCGTCAGTATGTGCATGAGCAAATCTCGCGCCGCGAAGCGTCCGTACAATCGACTGAACTTGGGTTGTTAACGTGCCGGTGATGTAAGCGTCCTTTTCGTGAGACCGGATGATATCTGGGGACGTAGCCCAGGGGAAGAAATGGGAGGTAGGACGATCGGAATGCTTAGAACTGGAGCTGGAGGGAGCAGGAGGCTGAGTAGACTCGTCAGACGCCATTGTGACTTTTGATAGAATTATCCATCGGGGCAAAGAGTCAACGTCAAAGGAAATGGAGGTGCGATGCCTGGCACCAGCTCCGTGATGAAGCTTTCCGCCCAGAGTTGCCTCGGCTTGCGGGCTGAGTAACCGTCACGTGAACTGGCCAAAAGATTACATAATAATTAATTTGGCGCTAGTTTGTGACTAACTGAGATCGGTTAGCTCCAAATATTTCCAATTACATAAGCGATACTCTCCGGCCAAGCTTGATGCCAGCGCAAATAAATAGTTGAGAAGACCAACTGCTTTTTATATCGTGACGCCCTGGTTATTCAAGCTCTCGGGGGAAGTGCTGCTGTTCCGGCCCGCGATGGAATATGGACCCTGACCATCATGAGGCTACCAACCTGCAAGGGTTCAATCTTATCCTTCCGCTCCCATACCGCGTTGCGGTGATCTTGGTTGCAGGTAGGCAACTCGTGCTTTTGATATCCGGTGGAATCCCCTGAAGCTAACGGTCCCTCCTTTTACAGGCGTATGGGGATGGGGTTTCAATCTTCATTATCTATCACTTCTAAGAATAGTACGTCAATTTGATTTCCCGACCGCTGAGCCTCCTCAGGCTGCAGGAATCACGACATCTAACTAGCAAGCGCAGGACGTTCCCGCTTTAATCCGTTATCCTTCACGGTCGTCGACGGGCAGCGTTCCTGTCTATAAGTCGACCTACCACCTTTCTACGCTCCTTTCTATACCTCTCGCCATCTCTCTTCTTCTTTTCTGGACAACCACCCATCGATCCCCCGAGCTGGTTCTCGCCTGGGAAGCGCTTCCGCAATCCTACCTTTTCCTCTTCGTTGTTTTACTCTTCCTTCCGCTACATCGTCTATCGCGTGCTGGGCGCCATCGCTTACTGGTGACCTTGAGACGAATTAGTCTCGGTGGACTTGCGGAAGCCCAGGATGGAAAATTTGGCGACATATTATTTGCTGATGTGCTCACGAGTTACGCAAAAGTCTTTGGGGATCTTTTCGTTAGCACGTGTATGTTCTTTTCTTCGGGGGTGTCGAGCACGGGTGTTCCTAATCGAGCATGCGGGGGTAATCTTGCCGTTCCGCTCCTTATATCGATTCCCAGCATGATCCGTCTCCGCCAATGTTTGATTGAATATTCGCGTGTTCAACGGCGCGGGAACAGGAGCATCGATGGCTGGGGGGGCCAACATCTAGCCAACGCATTAAAATATTCAAGCGCTTTCCCCGTCATTATTTTAACTGCATTGCAACGGAGTTACGACTCTTCGAGAGTTGGAATGAGTGAGGCTGGTTTGCATAAATTATGGTATGCTCTGTCCTTCAACTCTTTGTTTTATCGCACATTTACTAACCAGTAACTGACGAAATCAGGGTCTTATCGGCGCTAGTTCATTCTTCCTTTACATTTTATTGGGATGTTTCCAAAGACTGGGACCTCTCGCTTTTCTCTGACCTCATCACCCAATTCCGACGCAATCCATACCATCTCGTCAACAATACTTCCGCTCTCTCCCAACCCAACAACTTCGATATCGCTATCGACCGGCCCTTTGGCCTCCGCACCCACCGCTTCTTCCACGCAAACGGAATCTACTACGGGGCAATCCTGGTCGATTTCATTCTCCGGTTCACGTGGCTGTCCCGACTCAGCGTGCGATTGAACTGGATTAATGATTTGGAAAGCGGCGTTTTTATTCTCATGTTCCTGGAGGTAGCAAGACGGTGGATGTGGATTTTCTTGAGAGTCGAGACAGAGTGGGGTGAGTGTCCTGGCTCGCAGCTTTCCTGAAACTTCATGGTGAATTACCGCTGATTTGATGCCGTTTTAGTCCGAAGCACTCGTGGTCCGGCGCCAGACGATATCCTTTTGGGAGAATTTACACCTAAATTAGATGAAGATTAATATTTAATTAATGTGTACGCTTTCCTCTTACCGGGCAAGTTCTTTCTAGACAGCCTGTTTGAATACATATTATATCATCAAGTCATTTTTGTATTCTAGACCAGATTCGCTTCTTTTTCTTTTCTTTTGCGTTGGTTCATGACTGTGTCAACATTGCTTTTCCAGTTCTAAACACTTCTTTCAAGGTTAATAGATATGCGAATATCCGAGGAGCTCCGGAGTGCATTGACAGTCAATTTTTCATTCAATTCGATGTATCATTAAATCATGTCAAAGCCGGGTCCGAGCTAGCCCGTACATATAATTGGTCGTGTCGCAATATATACAAAAATACAAAAGATAAGTGGACGACCGCAAATCCTTTTTAGTAGCTGGATTATTAGATATTTATGTATATACCGCAAAGTACATCTAGTCATCCCACGATGCTAGGTGGCAAAGCACCAAAGAAAATTCACAATATACAAGGTCACCCACTTGCAAAATTAATAGAAGGGAGAAGAGCCAAAAGGGCTTAAGAGGCTTTGACGGAGATTCTTCGTAAGTTCGCGAAGTTCAGAAAGAAGTTGGTTGCAAGGATCAGGCTGTATGGTTGACGGGAATCTATCAGGGTTGAAGTTGACAAGTTGCGGATCGCGATATTTGCGAGGTTGTGAGGACGGGCGAGATGTAGGCTGGACAGGCTAGGGTCCCTGTATTCTACAAGCCCAACTTGTCCAATCTGCTTCAGTGGCCTGATCCGAAATCAGCAGGGATAGGGGAAAAGGGTTTGACGAGCAATGCGATATCGAAGTTTGCTGCCAATTTTGACAAAACCAGCTACTTCAGAGCCTCGTTGATGAGCATCCAGGGGGAATAAGTCAAGAAAAATAAATAGCAAAAACAAGTCAAATAGTGGGAAGGTAAGCAAAACATTCTCCGCTGATGAGCATTAGATAACGCCGAAACCAGACAAAACCAATATCAAAAAGATATCACAAAATATCCAAGTCCATGAGTGTCCGGGTGGGATTAAATCAAGATTTTCCGTCCAAAAATGCGGTCTTTGTCCGTTGAATTCAGTATTGACAGAAGGTCGATGGGTCAAAAAGATTTTGATGGTCGGAAGGCTGCTGCATTTTTTCCGCATTGACGGTTTTATCTCCCTGGTGGATGGTTTTCAAAAAGATCTTCCAAGTACGCGCTTGGAGCTCTACCCTGCGGAGCAGTGGACAGGTTCAAAGAGCTCGTAGACGGATGAGCCTGATCATGGCCACGGCTACTAGGTGGTAGGCCGGGAGACCCTGGCGGGCTAGGTCCTGATCTCGTACGTGAATAGCCTTGAGCCTGGGGACCCAAAGGCGATAGTCCAATGGAAGAAGTGCTGAGATGTGCCAAACCCGCTCCTCCTCCAGGGGCCGCGCTGCTCGCAGAATAGTATCCAGCAGGTAGATAACCAGAACCTCTGTTGCCAGGCGTGTGCATACTAGCGCCGGCCGTTGGTGAAAAGAAAAGGCTCTGATTCGGGGTATGAGATGGTCCAACGCGAGAATGGCGATCTTTGCTGACCTTCTCCCGTGAGATAGGAGCTCCGGCCGGGTTTTGGTACACTCTTGATTTTCGGGTGTTCGGGTTTAAGAGGGCGGTTGCATCGGAAGGATGTGAGTTGTTTGTGGCGCGTCGCACGGATCGGTTGATGGACCAAGCGACAAGGAGTCGCCATGCGACCACGGCAACGGCAAAGAATCCCAACGCGGCACCCACCGCAATGAAAATCGTACCCTCTGGCAAATCCGACTTTTTGAGGTATGGAGCACCTTCTTTGGGAGGAATCTGTGGCGTTGGAATCACTGGACCTCCAGTAAGTGAAGGAAGCGTGAAGGTCGGGCTAGCACCCGTTCTTGTGCTCTCAGAGGTGGTAGTAGTGGACGAGGTTTCTGATTCAGACAGGCCCGGGAGGTTGTCGGGCGTCCGAGACTGGGTAGGGGGGGATTGGGTTGCCGATGGGGTTGGTCTTGCGGGTGGCGGAGCGGCAGTCGTAGGCCTGTTATTATCATCGTCGTCGTCATCTGTCTCAGCGGGAGGAGGAGGCAGAGGTCTGTCCGTTTCCCTTGGTGGGCTGGGACGGTCGGTTTCGGGCGCTCTCGTGGGTTGAGGCCTTGAATTCGGTACACTGGGAGCATCGGTGTTGTCTCTTTGCGCTGCAACATGACCAACCAGCAAACTGGTGAGACAGACGAATAAGAAAAGATACAACAGTGGCCTCGAGGCCAGTCCACCTCGAGGTCCTTTCATGACAGATTCGGGTGCCTAACACGGCTGGCTCGGCGACGAGAGGAATGACTATTATATATTAAATGCGGCGCGTAGGGCTGGAAGATCACCAGGGCGCAGATCCCGACGGCCAGAGAATCGAAATTCGGGGTGCGAGGAGATAAGCGAACGGAAGGGGGCGAAGAGGGTGAGGAGCGGAAGAGCAGAGGGTCTAAGACAAGACGAAATGTAACATTGTCAAATGAGAGAACAAGGTGGGGAGAGTGCAGTTTCCAGCACCTAGCAAACAACAGCAGCAACAGAAGCAGAAGCAGAAGAGAAGCAGATACAAAACAGAGAGACCGCAGCGAGCAGATGAAGAGAATGTCGGATCTCTTGAACCAGCAGCGGGCGAGATAGATGGACGTCGGGAATGGGGAGTGTTTGTCGTCTGGGTTTCCTGTTTGACTGATTGTGCACAGCCAGAAGCGGAATGGTTGCCAAGCACAACGCGATAAAAGGGGGTCACAACACACGCAACACGCGATGAGCAGCAGCTTTGATATCAGGAGTCGATATCATATGGATGCTGGTGGCTTGGACAGTGTTGTTCTGATAGAAGGGGTTTCCATGTTCCACTCCGCAACTAAATCCCATTGTGTACCATGGTTAACTAGTTACTGGACCCAGGCAGAGTTCTCTCCATTCACTTGTCTGCATTGAGGACTGATTGATGACTGGATTGTTTGTCTGAATAATCTATGCACATATACCAGTTTATGCAACTTGCCTGAATTTACATCTTCATCTCACTAGATTGGCTCTGGCATGCATTTAGCAGTTGCAGTTGAGGGGAACCAGTGGATGATGTGTCATGGTCGACATCTCTTTAGAGACAACCATATATATTCGACTCCCAGCCCGTCAGCGGCAACCTGGCTATTCAGGGCCACAGTTCATACGGATACGAGAGGGATCGCGGTACAACAGGCTGATACCTCACATCGCCAATGCATCCTGCCGTCGGCATTCAATATTTGACCAGCCATAGTCAGACAACATCGAGAATCTCCGTCCTGTCAGGGGGATCTCCATCGACGGTGATATAAAACGTCATCTGGGGGGAAAAAGCATTGTTCAAAGATTGGCGGCATTGGCCGAGATCTGCGTGGTTGACATGGACGCCATTTCACAGAATGCTCTCTCAAGAAACAAAGGGGGAATTATATAACCTACACACCTCGGCTCACCTCCTGTGTGAACCCTCGAAGCGGTCAAGTCGTCAAGCCCTGTAGATTCGTCCGTGGGCGTGTTGTTGTTCCAAGCCCGGGGCCTATCGCAGGGATGGGTGCAGGCCATGCCGCCAGTCCGTCTGTTGTCGTGTAGAATCAAGCCCAAGAGCCCACGTTCTTGCAGGGGTTGATGTGTGTTGCTGGCGCCTGTAGAAGCAATCCTGCGGCGGGAAACCCTTAATAGCCCTAACTAGAGCCCGCCGCCAGAAAAGCCAGCTGCCGGTCTCGAATCTTTTTCCTTCCTATCCATCCTCCATTATTTGCGGCTTGCCTTGGTGTTTCCCCTGCTGATTTGCGTCCCGCCACCGCAGTGCCAGCAGTGGCGATTTCGGCGTGTCAACTTGCTGGTGAACCCAGCGGTGACGATCCTGCAGTGTGGATTGTCAGCCACTTGCGCTTCGATCTGATCTCTCGGGGCCAGACACAAAAAGCAAGAAAACCAGCAGCTTGCGTCTCGAATGACAATCCCATAAAATCATTCGGGATCCCAGCAGGTTGGCCCGTCTGGATGTTGCTACTTGTTCCCTGGTAGCCCGTCTTCCGTCAGCCTCTTTTTTTTGTCGCATCTTGCTCCGACACCTCCATCCTTGTCGCCTGCTCTCCCCCAAAACATCCCAACTCGCAGAGCTCCGGCCCTATGGTGCATTGGTCTATTTCGCAGATTCTTCCATATGATTCTGGTCTTATCGTCTCCTGCATATCCGAGTCTTCTCGTCAGCATTGCGTGCACCTGTTCGTCCCCAAGCCTGTTTTTCTTGCTCCCCCCACTACCCCTTCTTGGCCATTGCAAAGAGAGCCCTTCAGCCCAGCTTTGATATGGGATCGCTGCCCATCAGCCAAACCGTGTCAGATCCCAATCCCATCGTCCGTACACGATGCTGAGCGCGAGATTAAACCAGACTGCCACCGCTTCTAATCCTCTCTTCCGTGCGTCCTCGCATCCCTACCCATCCCACTTCGCAGCTCGATTCCGCCACCCACAGTTCGGCCGACTCCAGCACTCAGGCGTCTTCGAATTCAATAGCTTCGTCCAACCCGCATCGTTCCTATTCCTCGCAACATGCTTCTAGCTCCTCCTCAGCTTCTTACGACCCGCGCTCCTCGATGACGTCCCACTCCTCTCCCCCACACCGCCTCCCCGATCGCCAGCGACCTTCATCCCAGTCTCATTATACCCAGCAAGACAGGCAAAGGCACGACATCGATCGCGCTGCATACGAGAGGACAGGCGGACTAACTCAGGTGTCGCCATCATCGCCCGTTCTGCAGCCAACATACCGTTCGTCACGGTCACTCGGCGGATCGGAAGCTACCTCGCCTAGCCGCATCAAAGTGCGCGACCTCAATCATATTCAGAGCTTTGCCAGTGAGGAGATACTCTCTTCTCGAGGATCAACAAGCAATGGACTTTTTCAAGATGCTGGCCGTCAATACGAAATCAGTTCAATGCCAGTCACGGATATAATTGAGATGGTTGCTGGGCTGCTAACAAAGATCACCACCACAAATGATCTGCAACATGAACATATTCACCAGCACATACCTCCCCCAGAAGGAGCTACGAATCTCAGCCAACAAACGACCAGCGTGTTGGCTTTCCATGGAAGAAATATCCCCAGCATCTCGATCCTCAACTATCTCACCAGAATTCACCGGTATTGCCCGACAACATATGAAGTCTTTCTCAGTTTACTCGTCTACTTCGATCGAATGACTGAAATGGTGGATAAAGAATACATTCAGAATCTCCGGCGACGTCCCGATCGACATCACTGTCAGGAGTCTTCGTCTCCATCCCCGCCTCTCACTGCGACGCCCGGGCGGGGGGTCATCTCATCTTATCACACCCCCTCCCTCTGGGAGTAACTCCTCCCGCGTCCTCAATCGACAACCATCCCCAATCGTCTCGGGCTCGAGGAGGGTCGCCCTCTGTGAGCCGAGAGTCCATCCCCGGTTGATAATGACCACTTTGACGATAACAATGAATGTGACGAAAATGACGATGCCTTAGATTTCTCGGCACTATTTTGGTGGTTGATAGCTATAATATACATCCGGCTTGTTATTGGCGGGTGTCACTGGCGCGAGCCAAATTCTTTTCTGACGTTTTCTATACTAATTCAAGATACGCCAAGGTCAGTTATAGCATTGGTCTACTCTATCACTTAATCGCCTGCTGACTAGTCTTTGCGTGCAGGTTGGTGGGCTTCCACTCGTCGAACTCAACCACCTCGAACTCCAGTTTCTTTTACTAAACGATTTCCGACTCGCCATTCCGGTGGAGGAGTTGGAAGCATACGGGACAATGCTTGTGGAATTCTATGCAAGAGAGGTCCTCAGCCAGCGAGCACAATCGCAGGCAAGATCCGAGGGACAAGCAGCACACCCCGATATCCCCCCTGCAGAAACCAGAACAAACACCCGGGCGGGGGACGATGTATATGTACGTCCGTCTAGCGTGCGTCAACCTTCTGGAAGGTCCATGTAAAGAGCTCTACATTATACCCACATTACCATGAACTCTGAAAAAAAGACATTTTATCACACTGGTGAACAGAAGGAGTGGTGGTTCTGATTTTCAACATGATATCGACTATTTGACGAATGGACAAGTCACGTATATTCTCCCTGAAATATTCTACATATTGCATCATCCACCAACCAGATCAATGGGTCTGTGCATATCACGTCTTCTACTCTTTCTGATGTCGAATACTTGCAAAGTTCTAACACACCTGTTCATTCTTCTTGTCTTTTGTTGATGACTTTTAGCGGGGTTATTCATGTTTCTATCTGCCCTCCTCGGCCCTTTGACCAGGTTGATCATTTTAGCCCTTTTTTTTTTATGTTTTTGATGTTTACGGGGAACTTTTCTCATCCTTGTCTTGTTTTCCCTCTCAAATCACAGGCGCATGGCGTTGTGCTGTTTGATGGACTCTGGGCCCTGGTTTGGGAGCCTTTTATGATTTGCGTTCACTCTTTCTTCTTTTTTTTAATTTCTCCCCTTCACCGTTTGTAACTCTATGGAGTATTTATTTTTCCTTTGTTCAAAGTGACAAAGAGCTTATTTTATACTATTATTTTAATGGATCAAATTGCGCGCTTTCAAATCGAGAAAGTTAAGAGTGAGTTGAAGGGAAGGTCTGGATGGGAGCCATAAAATCGAATCCTGTGATTGATATAATCAAGCAACTCACAAGGCCCGTTTAACCATAGAAGCCACACACTCCATTAGACCGGGAAAGAGAAGAAAGCTCTATATTAACACACAAATGCTGGTGCTGGCAATTGCCTAGCAATGGTAATAGGCGTCTAGTAAGGGTTTGCCCTCTTGCAAGTCATCAGTCTTCCTATCTTGTGAGTCGAATGTACTCTGACAGTGTACTTTTGCTCAAGTACTCCGTAATTCAACAGCGTATCCAATATCACATATACATTAGCGTTCAAAGGTATGTTATGCTAGTAAAGTATGTACAGTACAACCGCTCCATGCGTACATGGTATCCAACAATTCTAAAGAGCCGAAAAGAAAGAAGAGCAATCAAGGGAGCGAATAGAAGGTATAATAACAATATAATAAAAGGTATCTCAGATTGATGGCGAGTAAAGCGAAGGACAAATCGAGTTCATTATGCAAAGCTTGTCGATAACAAGCTGAAGCACAGGTCTAGTGGCCCAAGTAGGGGCTCATCGTTATGTCAAAGATGCCAGAAGTAGTGGCATTTCCAAAAAAATGTGTATGTATGCAAACAAGAAGATTATCAGACCAAGCGAGCGATAGCTAGAAGATACGGAGACGGATACCCATGTTCCACAGAGTAACCGTTCCTACCGTCCTGCTTCTCGAACAATGTTCATAAATACGTCTTCATTACCTACCACCTCAACGGCCCAATACTGGCCGCCCTGCCCATTTACTGACGTCGGTAGCTTGGCCGGCTGCACTGGTGCAGACCTTCTCCTGCCCACTTCGATATTCTTCGAGCCCCATCCTAGGATTGCCGCTGCAGCGGCCTGTCCTTCGTCACCAGGAGCAAGACTCATAAGTTGCGCCTCCAAGGCGCCCAAAATGGCGACACCGGCTCTAAACATCAGTCTGTCCCCTTCGAACACCCAGCAATCCCAGACTCGACTCAGGCGCTCCAGGTCAAGGCCATTTGTAAATATTGTTCTAAACATTGGTTCCCAGATCTGTTGGTCGGTGAGACAAAGATTCTCGCAAAGATGTGTTGACAGTCTCGGGAATTTGAGGCGTAAAGTCGCAGACGCCAACGAGTAAACGCGGGCAATGGCTCCCGGATCGGAGGTTAAGAAGGCAAGGGGGACGGGACGGTTAAGAGCGTTGGCCAGGGCCTGGAACGCTGCGGCTGGGGTGTGTAGTTGTAGTAAAAGGAGGCCTGCGACGGTCTAAAGCTATGTTAGGATGAAAGCGGGCTGGGTATCCTGATGTGCTACTTACGTGTATGCCGTAAAGATAGCCCACGTCGCTCCGATACATCGAGTATGCATCTAAAACTTGCACTAGGCTATCGTAGAGCGGCCCTTCTTTTCCAAAGAGTTTCAAATCCGGAAACACGCTGGCCGCGTCGCGTCGTATTGCTTGAAACCGCTGGTGTTCCAAGCTATTAACCTTGCCTTTTTCTTCATCACATTGGGCTCGAAGTTCGTTTGCTCTTCCAAGAGCTTTATTGAACGACTCATCAGTCAACCCAAGTCCGTTCCCAATGGCACGCTGCCACACGGCTCCTCGAGATCGTGGCGTAATACCGCGCCACCAGAGCTCACGCGTACGGTAGTCTTTGATAGCGCGATCCCAATTGGGGAAAACGTGTTCATCCCAAATGCGTTGCAGCATCTTCCGCGTATCATCTCTTTTACACTGTTCAGATGCAGCCTGCGCTGCTTTTCGCTTCTCTATAGATAATATTTAGTTTTGTAAACGCGTAAGAGCAGGGGAAAGTGAGCAGTTGACGCACCAGCTTCACGAGACAAGGCCATCATTTTCTTATACTCTTTCAAATGACGCTTTTCTTCTTTTTGGTCTTTGGGTGGAAGCCAACTAGGCCGTGTTCGCGACAGCACCTTTTCTTTCTCTTTACTAATTGGAAGCGGGTCAATCATGATATTGGGCCTCTGGAGTGGTGGTAATTCGATCATGCCTCCGGATTGGCGTTTGGTCCTATCCAAACTCGACCGGGTTGATCTTCCACCTTGGACGCGCTCTTCGTGTTCTCGGGCCGACTCATCGGCATGGAATTCGAGGACTTCTGTCAAGACCTTGGCTTCTTCGGACAGCTCAGACATGACAACATTCCGCGTGTTACCTCGAGGCACTCGGCCGGTATGGCCACGCAAATGCCCCATTGAGCTAGACCTAGGCAGCCTACGACGACCTCTGCTATGGCGCGGCGGTGAAGTCGATGGAGACAGGGATCCGACGGGAGGACTCGACATTGTATGCTCGAGCGGAATGGGTCGAGGACCCGGGCTTCGGCTGCTGGAGCTGGAGCGACTCATCCTACTATCTTGGGGTCGTTCGTGGGGCGGGCGAGGCGATATTGGGACATTCCAGAGCGCCGCATCTTCGGGCAGCTCATCATCAGAGTCATGATATTCAGCCTCCAGGTCCTTGACGCTCTTCCGGGATGGCCTCGAGGAGGAGCGGACCGATCCGTTCGGAGTCGGGGGCGGCCGACTGTGCGATCTCACAGGAATTATCGGAGACAGCCCCATTGCCATGTTGTTAGGGGAGGGCGACCGGGTTCTGGGCCGCGAGAACGATGATGGACGCGGCTGTAACGAGAAATTCGGGGGATTTGCGGATCCCCGTCTTCCGGTCTGATCGTGGCGGGGCAGGGTAAGCGACTGCATTGCGCTTAGGGCGCCATTGATTTGCGCCTGCAAGTGCGGGTAGTCATTCGCCCGTTTAGACGAGGTGAGCTCCCGTACAGGAGCCAATTGAGTCGTCATGTTCCGCCTACCGCCATGCCCACCGGACACTCTCCGCAGGGACGTGCGGATGGTGAGCTTGTCCTTCCCGAGATGGGTATGATCTATATGTGTGACATCCAGGTCCTCGTCAAGGCCAATGTCTTCAAAGTTTGAGATATCGGCGAGGATCCCATCCGGGCCGGACCGGTGGGAGGACGACTGGAAGGAGGAGGACTTTGACGACTTGGAACCCGTCAGATCGGGAGGGGAGTCGGGAGCAACCGAGATCGCGGCCATGACATTATCTATCATCTTGGAATCGTACGGTACCGAAATTAAGGGGCGGGGGGCAAAAAAAAGAGCAGCAATGGCGAGCGTTCGGGAATGTTTCTTCAGCGATCGGCTTGGTTTCGTTTCACAGGGGCATGGCGAACCAGGTACCGTTGAAACGCGAGTGTTTATTAAATTAGAAAAGAATAATAAGGCGGAGTATTAGCTGTACAGGGCGTGTGGCAAACGAACGACGGCATCCGATCGAGTGTAGGGTTCGGGGATTCTGGAGAGATGGGCAAGAGGGATGTTCCCCGGCTCCTCGATGATCAAGCGAGCGGCATAATAGGAGGTAGGGATGGGGGGGATGAGTTCAAGTCGCACAGCAATGAAACATCCGGCCGGATAGCAATCAAGTAGTCGACAGAGCTCGTAGCGACGGCATGGCAGCCAGGCCCAGAGCAGAGAGGAAGAAGCGAGAGTGAAGATGAAGAAGAAGAAGAAGAAGAGACGTCGAGCAGGTCAAAGCAGGAAAGAAGGAGATCCAGGCGACGATCTTGTCCCGTTTGGTGCTAAGCTGAGCTAGGCCGGGCCGGTTCTAGCGGTATTCTATTTGTGTACTGCTTCTCGCTGTGGTCAGAGCGCGCGTACACTGTATTTACGGTATGGCAGAGGGAGGTTGTTTATTCCACACGGCGCTTGTGTCTTGGCAGGGGAGCTTGAATGCACTAATTGAGGATATAGCCAATGAGCACGGACTATTGTACCAGTGGGTCGCGAAAGAACCCAACGGGAGCACGACCCGCCAATACCACTAACCAAGAACAATCTAGTGTTTGTTTACTAAACCCGCATCCGGGCGCAGATTAGCACTGCCCAGCAGACCAACACGCTGAATCCCACAAGGCAGAGCTACAATAACTGATACTCGATATCCTCTATATGTACTCCGTATGATAGCATGGCCTGATCCAACGCTCAATTTTTGCAGTCTGTGGGGCTCCATCTCGGAAATACCGACAGGATGAAACCCGCCTCACCGTGGCTCATGGTTCTCGCCAAGCACGCAAGCCACAGCAGTGCTGGCAGCCCTGCGAAAATGAAGCAATTTCAACTTGTTCCGACGCTACGTTTCATCTCCACCGGACTGGTTGCGGTGTTGTTGCCAGAAACTTGAGCTCTCGGCTTGTGAAACGGAGACCAGGGGAACACTTCATGCTTCTGGTTGCGTTGGCAAAAAGAGACAGCACAGGCGATGACGGAGTGCTCAGTTGGGGAGTTTTCTGAGACCTCACGGGCTCTGCGCCAGAATCAAGGAAACCCGGGTCTCCAGCATCATGCATGCCAACATTCAACCGCAATTTTCCCACCATCCCAGGAAATCCCGTTTTGGCCCGCCCTAATATCTCGAGTACTGCACCATCATCCTTCCATCCCGAACAATTCTCCACAGTCTTCCCGCTTCTCCATCTCCAGCCGGTTTGGATGCCCTCCCCTGCCCGTCCAACCACCGGAGCGTCTCTCCCAGCCGGCTCTGCTTTCTCCGGAGGACCTCTTTAAACGCTTGCACCGCTAACCACCGGATCTGCAAGCTGGTAATCGCCGCCGTGTGGCGCAAACTCCCGTCTTCGCGTGTCGCCTGTGCCATCCGCGAGCGGATCAGGCGCGCTGCGTAGTGGATAAGCGCCGCGATCGTGCGCGTGAACATCTCCGTCGAGACGGTCGCACCCGCCGCAGTGCGACGATGGTGTCGAGAAAGCGTGCGGAAGTACGCGTACATCTTGATCGCCGAGTCAACGAACGCGTGGTAGATGCCAGCCAGCACCGCGGTCGGGGAGTTGTGCTGCGTGTCGAAGAACATGGCGTGGGCTTGCGCTTTGAACAGAGAGAGCGCTTTGCGGCAGAATCCCTGGCCGGGGTTCTTCTTCAGCTCGATCGTGAGCGAGTCGCACACGTGTAGATCGTCCTGTCGGCGGGTCCGGTCTTTGCTGATCGCCAGTGTCTGGGTATCGATCAGGTTCCCGCAGTAAGGGAACTGGTTCTGGGCCGACCCCTCTTCAAGGCGAGGAATGCGGTGCCCGTGTATCGTAGCTTCAAAATTCACCAGGGTTTTGCCGAGCGCCACGGAAATCCCATACTCGGGGTTTCCCTCTAGCATCACCTGGAGGAATCGCGTCGCCAGGCCCTTGTCTGTGGTGATGAGAAGGTAATCATCAACCAGCCGCAACAGCAGCGCTTCATTACAGTTCAAGAATCCAAGTTCCTCGCGTTCATGCTCACCGTAGAAGAAGGTGCATAGAATGCCCGACACCACTGAGCCCTGAGGAATTCCATGCTTCTGTCGAAAATACTTCTTTCCCATTTTCACGTGGTTGTTGCGCACATGCTGCTCCAGTGTGGCCAGCAGATCCTCAGTCTCATGTCGTTTCTGATATCCAGTGTCAACGAACACGGCATTTCGCTTCATGGCCAGATTCGATTCTCCGGTGACAAAATCATACGGTGTCTTAAAGTCCATGCTTGGTGCAGCCTTGGAAACGAATTTCCGTACCGGCTTACCCAGCTTGCGACCCGGCTGTCCATCGAGGCCGCATTGCCGCGACGGGCCAACTTCCACATATTTGCTCACCCGGTATTCATCTTCAGAGATCAGGCCATCAACCAGCTGCAGTAATCTCTTCTGAGGGATAGTGTCAAAACATGCCTGAACATCCAACTTGGCAAAATAAAGCCGGCCCCCTCCTTTCATCATCATCCCATCCCTCTCCAGCCGTTTCCGAAACGCCTTCAGCCGGACGTGCATATCTCGCGCAGAACCCATCCCAGACCCCACCAGCTCCGACCTCTGCGCCTTTTCGCAGTTCAGCACCTGAAACACAGGTCCCAGGAGCGTATTGACGCTGGGACCAAGCTCCATCCTCCCGTTCCATTTGGATTTGACAGCCGCGCGCTTCCGCAGATTCACGATCGGGCGAGCTCCAGCGCGCTTCGGCAGCATTCGTAGGGAGCCACATCCGAGCGCGCCTCTTGACAGGGTCCTCGCGGCCGTTTCCTTTTTGACTTCCTCAAACACCGTAGCCTTGAGTTGGGCCACGGATGGCTCGATGAGTTTCTTCCAGACGTCGTGGCGAAAGTAGAAGAGGCGGTTGCGGTGGACATTGGACTCTGTGACGTAAAAGTTTGAGCGGATGAGGGGTATGAGGAGGGAGTCGAAGAGATAATAAATGAACTCGAGAAAGATTTCAGAGCGCTTTAGTTTGTCTGATAGACAAAGTTTATCAGTGCTGTTAGCCTTTCGCGGAGGTATCAACCACCTGATACAATTGATCTACACGACATGTTAGAGCTGTCTGGTGTAGCCGAAGCATTGCAAAAATTGACCGAACCTTGAACCCTTGAGAGACATCATGGAGAGATAAGCTCTCAAACCTCCGCAGGCGAATGAAGCTGTCCACCTGGCGTAGAATCATTTCCCGATTCCGCCCACCGTCTTCCCCAACTCCGAAAAGGTCGTTTGGAATCAACTTTTGGAAAACCGCCCGGCAGAATGCCGACACGCCCGCAATCGGCGTCGCAAAATCTGTCAGGGGTGCGTCGGACTGCTGCGACTCCGTTGATCGAGACTGCTAGCAAGATTCAGTTAGTTAGTCTGGAGAAGCCGTAACGTAACCTAGGTGGTGCCCATATACCTCAATGGGGCAGTAATGTTTCAGAAGCTCTACATAGGAACAGTGCTGGTGTCTCTTTTGCAACTTCTGGATCAACACAATCAGCTCCCCGCGCAGGCGTTTGGGTACCTTGTTCAAACTCGATTTTGGCGCCTTGGTCCCACGAGATTTCTGTTGCATTGCTATTTCCTCCTCACGCAGCGAATAATCTTCAAATGGCTGAGCCGTCTTCCTGGTGTCGACGGCCGACGTGAAAACGTTGCGTAGACCAAACTGGCGTGGGAATATATACTTCATAATATGTACCGTATGGCCTAAATCGTTGGAGTTGGGGTATCGATTTAGAACGTCTAGAGTCTCCTTGTCAGCAAGGGAAACGGATTTCTTGTCACTGGATAGATCATACGAATATGCTGTAGGCCAAGCTTTGCCTCGCCCTTTGCGTTCAGCGCCGGTCGGGCATAAAACATTCTGTTCCTGACAAAGGCAATGGTCCTCGGAGAATGCAATGCATCTTTTGCCTGTGCACCGGGGTTTCCCTTGCCCTCCTTCGTAGGTCGTTGAGAGAGGAGTTTGAGGTCTACCATTTGTATCCCTATGGGCGCATTCAGCAAAGCACAACGCTGCCCAAATATAGATTGAGCTTACCACTCAATTGATAGTAGGTTCCTCTGCTCGGATCCAAAGAAATGAACAGCCCGCAATCGAGCAGCAGGTGTAGCATAATCTCTTCGCAATTCGCACCTAGGAGATCGAGCACGTCCGTCCACGGGAACGCCTTTAGCATCGAAACATTCTTGTTTGGATACTGCGGCACAAGGCCCGGAATCCCTGCCATGGCACCATGTTCCTGATTCCAGGCACCATGGCCTGAAGCCCGCTGGAAACCATGGCATAGGAGATGAGGCGGCCGGAAGTGAGAGGATCGTTGTTGGTTGAACAGGGTCAGTATGGCGAAGTCAACAATCTATAAAAATATAAATTAGCTCACTGCCCATCACTATTCCATTGAGCTCTCCAGAGCACAAGACTGCCTGTGCTTTTTCCTCACCTCCTTCAACGAACTAGTCGCACCCCCATCCGTACTGCGCACCAAACTCGACCGAAACTGCGACTGGGTGAAAGCCGCAAACTCGCGCTGTCGGGCATGCACGTCCACACGATCCAGCGGAGACAAGACGCCCACCAATGCCGTGTCCAGGAGCGCAGCCACTTGTCGGACGCGGTCCTGCTGCGCTCCGTCCGCCTGTGCGGGGGGCGGTACTACCTCGCCGGAGGGTGTGGGCGCGGGCTTGTGTGCGGCGTGGTCGGGAGGATGCTGGACGCCCAGGGACGCGAGTTTGCGGCGGCGCGACTTGGAGGAGGGCGGGAGGAGGGTGAGGAGGTATGCGCGGAGAGGGAGGACGCGGGGGTAGTACAGCGAGAGAACGGGGTGGGTTGGAGGCGCGGACTGTGATTGTGAGTCTTTGGGGTTGTGTCTGGCTCGCTTTTGAGGTTCAGTTGGACCAGTGTCGCGTGCTCCGAGTTTTCTCTTCTTGCCCATGTTCGTTCAGTTGTAGATATGTGATCTTGGGAGTTGCGGCTCGGAAGACGCGTAGATCATCCTGACTGCAACGCCTTGCTTTTAATTCGAGGCCTTGACGAGATTCACGACATTCTTATCACGTTGGGATATTACGTCTGACTGTTCACTAGCTGCATGGTAATCTCGTCAAGCGAGTCAATGATTTATGCAGTGAAATCTACCTCCAAACGACCTGCCTTTCTGACATCTCAGTTCCTCGCTTCCCGCTACATCTACTAGTTCATCTCGGTCCGACCGGCAAGGACGGCGGAAACAAAAGCTCAAGCTCCGTTTCAGCCAAGGGAAAGCTCTCCGTTTCATGGCTGGAATTACGATCTGTTTCTGGTTGCACTTTCAAATAAAGGGCACGAACAGCCCAGAACGCTCGGGGCCGGCAGTGGTCTTTGGAACAGTTCCTGCGCGAGAACCACGGTTCCTCCTCAGGAACGCGGACGGGTTCGTCTGGCACAGGTCGGGTGTTCCTGGACGAACTGATGTCAGTTTGGACGGCCAAACCGTGGTTTGACAGATTAAAACTGGGGATCTGGGTCTCAGGCTGTGTGGGTTTGTAGAGCGGACAGGGTCTATTCTTAGGATCGAGGTGTTCCAGCGCGAAACGGCGACCGTCAAGTTGTGTTGCCCACTTGGCGCTGGATCCAGAGCGGCGGTGATGGTTGATTGTGCGGTGAGCGGGAAAGTTGGATCTGGTCGATGACGAGGAGGTGGAGGTGATGGATTCATCCTGAGATTAATTCTGCATGGCCGGGAAGGATGGTCGGCTGCTGGATCGACAGGGCCAGAGAGCAGGGCCTGTTGAAGTGGAATTGTCGCAACTCGAGTCTGTATGTTAATATTGTCACTGTCAAAGACCAGCGCCTCGAGAAGATCACCCGCTTTGAGTTGTCTGACTATCAGCCCGGCGGCGATCATCGTCAAGGGATCCTTCGGGGGTGGCTGGAGTGGCCTCTTTATCCGCTGTCCATCGCGATTATTATTATTCTGATGCGGTTCTTTGTCCAGCAGCCGGGATGTAACGAAGTTGTCAGGTCCCATTTTCTATTTTTTTTTTCCATGCATTGGGCCCCTTGTCCGCATGCCCTCACAGCCCTGGACCAGCCAGGATGAACAAGAGTCGCGCTGAGCTTGTAGCGAGTTGAGTGTTGCTCTTCTCTGCCATCGCCTCCGAGTGGCACTGTATGACCATCGCTTTTCCCTCCCAGACCGATTGGCGCTGCCGTCCACCCACTAACCGGCCTGGCTGCATCGTCTGCATGGCCTTTCGATCTCGTTGGTCTTCTCGTCCCGATCTCCCTCGCTCACCTCTTCTTCATCTTTTCTTTCATCCTCTCTGCCCCCAGCACATCCCTGTCGTCTTCTTCCCCTTCTTCTGCTTCCGCTTCTTCCTCTGCTCTAACTACTACTACTCTTCTGCTGGCCCTTCTTATCCCCCAGCCCACTATCTCAAGGATCACCCGCTGGCCCTTTTTGCCCTCCCCCATGCCCACTCGTACTGATTTGATTGCTCTCTCGTGTGCAGCCAATAACTCCCTTGTCCTGCCAACTCCTCGACCCTGACAGCTCACGGCCGTGCAGACCGGCGTTCCCTCTCCCCAGAACCCTGGCCCGCGAGCGAACTAGTGAGCCACCTGCCTGGGCTTTCTCTTCTTCTCTGCTCTGCTCCCGTCAACGACTGCGCCCTCCGTCGCCCCGTCACCTCTTCCTTCACCTCTTCGCCCCGTCCTCGTCGACTCTTCAATCCGCTGAGACTCTCGCTGGAACTCGTCCCGCGGCTCGGTTTGCCAGTCTCCCAGCGATGGCCGCCGTGCAATGAGCCGGCCGGGCAGCTTGATAGGCCAAAAGTTGTAACCCTTGTCACTCTTCTGCCACGTCGTGACGCTCCAAGACCCTCTTTCTCCCTACCTCCAACTGACCTCCCAAGCCCAACTCGCCTATCGCTGGCTCAGGCATCAAAAAAAAAGCCAACCCCCCTTTCCTTTCCCTTTCCCTTGGTCCCTGTGGGCAGAGGACAAGTAATACAACTGGTGTACCTGATGCCGGATCGATCTCTGGATCCCATCAGGCGATTCACCCGTGCAGAAAGATGCCTGTCCAGGAGGCCGATCACAATTACGATTCATTGAATCAGCATCTACACCCTTTCTACCAGCCAGCTCCGACAGCACAGCAATTTCCATCGCAGCACCGCTTCGGCGACGATGCTGACGATGTCGCTTCGCACCTCCACCCCCAGTCCATGTCCTCCCCTCACCTCCCGCTCCTCCCTGCAACCACTTACTCTCCTCCACGTGCTGCCCGCCAGAATCAACTCTCTCTTACCACTAATCTGGTAGATCAGGGTCTCTCGCTAAGCAACGATGCTCACGACGAACTCTCCCCTGATCCCCGGGAATTTTACCTCCAATACCGTGATCCCTTTGGCAGCGATGGCGCCGGCCCCGACGGACCTCGACCTGACCACCGCCTCATACTCGAGGCGATCTTCCGCTCAATCCAACGGCTCGCCCGTCTCCCAACGCTATAGGTCCTCCTCCCGTGCACACCAGTTCGCTCGAGTTCCGGATCCCACCCCAAAGACTGTTCTCCCCCCAAACAACGCCGCGCCCCGGTTTCCCCTCCGCGACCAGAACCCGACAGTCTTCCTTGAAGGAGCTGGTGGATCGGTTCAATCAGACCACCGACGAAATTCCCCCGAAGCCTCCGAGCCGACATACGTTCGCCTCGTCGAAAATCGGGAACCCTGCTCCGGTGTCCAGACCGAGCGGTGGCTCCCGTCAATCCTCGAGTCACACCCGTGAATCTCGTTCGTCCACTCGATATAGCCAGAACAGTAACAGGGCGGCCACGACGGAAAACGTGCACAAGACTCGCGTGCCACAGAATTCCGCCAGGAGACCGCTATTCGGCGAAATAATACCCCTTGATACTTTCGCCGCACACCAGGAACGACGACGGAAATCACATCAGAGACGGGGTTCTGATACTTGCATGCACTCGCCAAGTCCCATGTTTCTTGATATCCCATTAGACGTTTCCGCCGGATGGTCCCCAACCTCCCCAACAGCATGGTACCTGGGCTATACCGCCTCCAGCGAGTCCACCAACACTATCGGCCCACCACTCCTCCATCGCAGGTCGCGAAGTGACCTAGCGGGAAATTGCTCACAGCCAATGAGCCCTGCTTCTTTTAACCCAAACATGAGTCTCAAATCTCCCACTTCACCTACTTCTCGGTCCAATCCCCGACGAAAGTCTGGGTCTCAGTCACGGATACCAGTGTCCACTCGTAGATTTAGCCACACCTCCGAATCGGGAAACTCTTCACCGTCCACAAGGACAAATTCGGCGCTGGATCGACACCCGGTGAATATTTCATTGCCCCCAAAAGGAACCAGCGCGCTACCCAAGCCATCTCCAAAACTTAACCCATCGCCTAGGTTCCGGAGTCCGTCTCACTCACCTATATCACCAAGGATCACTTCGCCCGGGAAGCGAGACGGCATTCGTGCACACAACCTCCAACCCCTCAAAAGCCCAACGCTCAAAGCTATCATCACCGCCCCCCCTGCAAAAAAATCTCCTCCCTTGAGAAGTTCTCGGCCACGCCAGCCTGTATCGACTGCAACTACCTCAGCGTCCCGTGGAAAAATCGTCGACAGAATCTCGGATTTTCAGAATAATGCCATGTCCTCGAAAAGCCCACGAACACTCGGACAAAGTCTCGACGACTACCAGAGTTGGGAAATGTGGATTTTGCCGCTAGGCGTCAAAGGATACAACAAGCTTTCAACAAGTCAATTGAAGAGAG